TGAGAAGTGAAGCACGCATGTCCGACGAGACGCGTGTAACTTCATGTGAGAAGGCATTCCTGTCCCTGTGTGTACAATATACTTGCTTAACGCTAACAGATAAATATGAATTAAATATGTATTAATTCTTTCACCATTTCTCCATAGAAATCTATATAGAAGTAATCTTACCAGTTCATAACAATATTCACAGTATCAAAATTTAATATACAAATATGTATCCTCGTAAAAAAAATAAAGCCATTTTTTACAGTACACAAATCTTTTCACATTACATAATATCTTTCTATGAAATATCCACATATCTGTATTATAATTTTGTCATCCAGTTTTCAATTTTATCTTGATTTGTGTACTTCATCTAGTCATTCTATAAATCATTCAGGGTAAATCATCAAAGGGACGAGTAAACTTTATGAAGTAGAAGGATGTGGCTTTATCCCAGGAGATTCACTCTTCTTTGGACTAGAGTTTATTTCTTGCTGCTCTAGTCTACGATGTCTTAACATTGTCGATAACACTCCATTAAAACTAGCGGTTTTCTTTTTAGCACTACCCTTTGGAGTACTCTCGCCAACTCTACGAACGGGTAATCTTGGCGAAGACATTTCATCCATAAAGTCGAAATCAGACTTTTCTTCAGTCCTGTAACAATAACATTATTTGAAACATGTGTGATAATTAAAATAAGTAACGCTGTCGCTAGAAACTCACTTGTACTCTTGAGATCCATGCTCTTGTTGTCGATTGTTTGAGGGAATAGGAGAAGGTCCTCGCCTGCCAGGACATTTCCATTCAAGTTCTAGAATGCGATTGTTCATCTCCAAGCCTTCGATCAACGAGACAATATCTTCTGCCTTTATATTCCATTCATGCTAGGTGTGGAATTATATTACAATATTTACAAATTATATTTATAAATGATTACTTTGAATAAACATTGAGTATTGAGTAAATAACCATCTCACCTTAGCGTCGATTTCATATTTCTCATCGTCAGAACATTCTACAGACCAGTCCTCTTCATTGCGTTCCATTTTTATCAAATGGAATTAATATTAAATAATTCACAACAACATTAGACAACTCTAAAGAGATCGAGACATTCTTATTGAGGTTATGTAGGTTGTAGTTCATTTGTATACAATCAATTGTTTTTATCATATGTGGAAAATCGCATATCGATCATCGGTAATACCAATCATCGATAATACCAATCATCGATAATATCGAAATCAGTAATGAAAATAATTGCGTACAAATATCTAATGTTATTTTAGCTAATTATTTTATCCAATTTTTTAATTCTTATATTAGACTATGTAGAAATAAAATTAAATTACCATAAAACAAAGTAAAATAGCAACGATTACTTTAACGAATAAGACTTATCTTCAGTTTGTTTTTGAAATTGTTGATAAAGAAAAGAGTAGTATTCTAAAACATTTTAAAATTATTAGAACTTATTAGTTATCGTTTATTTGTTTATATATATATGTAGAACATAGATAAAAACTAATATGCGTTAACAATTACGCAGAAGTAAGCTCTTTTAAATTGATTTTAATTAATCTAGTTCACGTATCATTGATTTACGCGTTAGTTGAAACTTTTAATTGTCTTTCCAGCTATCATAAAATTAGATGAACTTTTAGACAAGTTTAGTTATTTGCATGCTCAGTGAAAAGATTAAACAAGCGCTTGACCTACTTATATCCCACGAATAGTTTCGATATCTGAAATTGTGAAGAATCTACACAGTAAAATATTCTTCGAAAAGTTAACTCCCCCCTAATTTTATCAGATATAATCCTGTGTTCTTTTTGTGAGTATTCTGAGATATTTTATACATCAATAATTTTTTACTAAATCTTTAATTTGTGTAATAAAAATTTATATTTATTTCACAATTGTTTTTGACATTACGTGACCCACGCGCATCGTTTTTTGAGATAATGCTTGTATGGTTTATGTATTCCATATATTTTTTTGTTATAAGAAAAAACGTCGCTCACGTGGAGCATCCTTACGACGTAATATTGCGGTCACGTGGCCGCAATAGTCCACGTGTTCCTGCGTTCTATCGTTTGTTATGCAAGCAGAACAGCGCGAAGTCCATTCCTAATTACTGGTGCATAATAATTAAGTTCCGCATTAATTAACGGTTTATCATTTCGTAATCGACCTCGTTGCCTCTGTATACATTTCGTTTAATTAATACAGAGGAATAAACACAACAGGCGCAAAATGGCGCATGTTCTTCATTACGTAAGTCTTGCGATGGCGTTAACAGAGATATCACAAAAACTTCGCTTCATAATGTTTCATCAATAAAAATAAAGTTGTCTTTTATGGCTCAATTAAATCTTGCTCATTTTCATTATGCATGATAATTCGCGGCGCTATATACATAACATTTTGAAAGTTGTTTTTAGGGCACGTTTATTCATATGTTTTTTATTTATTGCATATTTCTTTTAAAACATTGCATTACATGAATTACATTGCAATTTCGCCGAGACCGTCTCAAGTGTTTATTACTTACGTACAAATTACGTGTACAAGATATTTGTAGTTCAGTTGCGTAACATGCATTAGATGGAATCAAGTGACATTTCAACGGATATCCTGAATCTTGTTTGTTCCCGTATTCGTGATATATCTATTGCAGAGCGCTCGTGTTTAGTAAAAACTATTTTCGTATCGTGTATTTTTTAGTTAAATACAAAACATTTTGCATTCATATACGTAACTAATATATGGAATTTTTTCTCCGAATAAAACATCAATTTTGCGGAAGATAAACTTGAAGATAGATTTCTGTATGCTTTTATTTAATATGCGCTTTTAATAACTGATAATATTTTATCAAATTTTAATGTGTTTAATCTGTATTAAGATCTGTATTAAAATTTGTATTAAAATCTTAAACAATAATATTTAAATAGTCTCAAATTGAAAAAAATAACAGTAAAAAAAATAGTGCGGAAAGACAAATAACATAAGCAAAACAGTATTTTTATAAGAAAATGGTTATTGGAACGGTTATAATATATGGAACCTTTTATATATGTAGAAAATCGCAAAAATTTATAAAATATTATTTCGTTCACAAATAATTTCAACATATTTTTATTTTTATTTTTATTTGAATAATTTTCGACAATTGCGTAGGTGTTAAATCTTATCGATCGATAGGTTCCACAAGATCATGTAGCATTCACTGTACTTCCTTTTCTAAACCAAAAGCGAGCCTGAGGCGATATTTTATTACACGCGTGTCATTGTGTGAGTGTGTATGGTACCGCAATGGAGTCGTTATTAGAAATGCCATGATATTGTATAATTTTTCACTAATTTGAAATATATTCCTGAGATACACTCTAAGATATAAAAATACTCTGGAGATATGCACTGTCTCTCGATGCATTACAAAGCAGACCTTTTCACGCAGTGTAACTTTACATTTGCTAAGTTGATGAGAACACAAAGAAATATGTTATCATATTATAAGAATCATTTATTTTAGGAAAATCTGTGTCCTAAATATTACAGATTAATATTTTTTAAAGCTAAATGTCACAAACCTAGAATTATTTTATCAGTATGCGTTAATCTTTTATCAATAGTATACTTTGCTTTATTATGTTATAATTTTTGTAGTAGAAATAACTCGTATTATTTAATCGAATTACATTCGAGATTTAACATTATTGAATTTTCTTATATTAAGTATTATTTTATGCAGTGTGCAATATATTGCTTTGATTTTTTTTAAATTTACTGGCTTATAAATATTAATTAATACCAAATAAAAAAATCAGACAATTTTATTTTACAAAATTTTGGAATATAATATAATACAAAAGTAAAATCAAACAATACATAAAATAGATAAACAATTCTAGTTCTAGCAATTATAAAATTGGATTTACTAACGATCTACTGTTACACATTAGATACTAGAAACAATATTACAGATGAGATTTTTTTATGGTATAAATTGAAATAAGTGAGATTATTCGTATGCTATACATTCGTCGTTTGAATGAATCTGTCTATGATATTAATTTTTTCAAAATAAAATTCTTAAAAGTACAATGCCATCAGAAATAAAAAAGCTGTGTATCTCTGATAAAAATCTTAAACGAAACAAATGACGATAGGGGTAGTAGTACGCGATTGGTGGATAGCTGGACCAATAACGGGGGATGCTGCGCTGAGTTTCAGGTGGTTGCGAGACGCGATTCACAAGTGCGGAATCATCTGAACAGTCGACGCGCGTACTCTGAGAAGTTTGCATGCCTTTCGGTCTCTGAAGATAACTTGTGTAAAAATCTTGTTCCCCGATTTATATTGAATTAATATTGACATATTTTGATTCATACTGTGTGATTTTTTTTTAATTGCCAAAAAAGTTTAATTGTAGTTAAAATAACTTAAATTTTTAATCCAGAAATTAATTTGCTTTTCACATTATAGCATACTTTTTATAGCAGCAAAATTTTATATAATATAAATTTTTGTTAATATTGTCAATTAAAGCGCAGTGTCATATAGTGTGGATTATTTTTAAATATATAATAATTTCTTTTATAGTGTTCTGTTTTTAAAAAATAAAATCCTGGTGCGTTTTGCAAAATATAAAATAATATGTAATAAAATAATTTTTAATAATTACATAACACATCATTAATTTAAATGCAAAAAAATATTTAAATATCCGACTTGTATAAATTTCGGAATTCAAAATGTATAAATTTTATACATTTATTTGTTAGAAATTAATAAATTCAGTGTTTGTCATTTGTAAAACAGAATATTAAGCGTTTTTACTAAGTTTTATATATCGTTTTATATACGTTCTATTTTACAACATCGACATAATAAGCTGTTAAATTCACACTTTTTATCTTGAAAAAGTTTCGAAGAATGAAAGAGCAGCTGTCAGCAGGGCTGGCTAATATGGACTTGAACTACTGAAAGAGAAGAATACGCGAGGATTACGGTAAGATATAATTTAGCATATTGTTGCGTGCGTAATTATGTGTGTATTATAACAAGATCAATATTATATTGTATTATATATGTTTTTATTATTAAAAAGATATTAATCTTTTGACTATTATAACTTTAAAAGAGAAAATACTTTGTATTTTTTTTAAATCGACATTATTGAAATATTTGCTCGATGTTTCTTGTAAAATTGATCAGAATGTAATGCAATACATAATAAAGAGCGCTTTGACAATGTTGCGTCGATCGATGGATGCAATATCGACACGTAAAGCCGCAACAAAAAACCATAAAACCATATTAAAAATCACACAGTTTTAGAAGAAATTTTAGTTTAGTTATCTTTTTATTATCTTATAAATCTTTTGTTTTGCAAAATAACTGTAATATATTCTATAACATTCTTGTATTAAGAACTTTGCGAGTGCAATATCAGTGTATTTATCGCTATAAATATTTTCTTTTAAAACTATGTGATTCTTAATATGATTTTTGCCTCGGTTTCACGTGTCGATATTATATCCATCGATCGCAACGTTGTCAGAGCGCTCTTTGTTATGCATTGCATTATAAATGCTAATCAATTTTTCAGAGAACGTCGATCAAATATTTCAACAATGGCAATCATTTTTTATCATTCTCGAACAATATATCAGTTCTAAAACAAATATGACAAATCGGCTATATAATGGAAATAAAGCAGAATATCAAATATTTATAACATTATGCTATTTTATTCAAAATATTATTCTTTTACATAACTTTTGATTTTAATAATGTCGATTAAATGCTATCAAATATAATTTTATTTTCAGCTTATTTCAAAATTGAATTAATTTAATTCTTTCCTCGGAATTTTAAAGTGCAAAAATGTATTTTGCATTAAAATTAGATAATGAAGTAATTGTAGTGAAGCTCGTATTATCTAATAAGTCTTTTGCTTTGCAGACAATCGAAACGTTTTCGGTCGGCTCCGTTTATTCATATTGTGAGTTCAGTCGAACAATGATGAGAATTTGCCGAAGCGCAAGCATCTGTTGGTTTGTTATAAGCTAACCCACCTAATAATTGCTCTAGTTTGCAAAAAGGCAAAAAGATGCGTCTAATTTCGATTTCTAACTACAAAATTGTGCACGAAAGAACAAATAGTATATTGCATCAACAGCATTTATCCAACTTATCATCCTATGAATAAAATTTGGTAATTTTTACTAAAAACTAAATTAACTAAAAAAAAAAAAAAAGTGCCAGCAGCATCAGTGCAAACTGTCGTGTTATAACACAAAGTTTCCACATTATTATTCATAAAGCAGTATTGTGCTTCTGGAAATTTGAAAGAAAGGTGAAACGATTGACGGACAACAAAAAAAAAAACAACATCTTCCCTCTGTAGCAAAAAAGAAAAAGTGTAGTTTATCATTTGTTCTCCTTTCCCCCGGGCTTTTTTTTCTTCGGAAAAAAACGGCGACAGTGTAAAGGTGTAAAGCGATGAGCCAAAGAAAAACAAGACTGGAAAGCGAGTGAGCTTATTTACGGAGCGCTGCACATTTCCGACAAACATTGCAACGAAGATGTAAAAATACCAAGCAAAAATGAATTACTAGAAGAAAAATGGCTGATCTGAATGTCAACGACAATTTTCCAGAATTCTGCATAATTCAATACGAACAATTCGTAGCCCCGCACGGAGGTATAAATTTCTTCAAAATTTTGCCACTTTGCGCATTGCTCGCATAAGCCATTCATATTGTTTGATCTTTTTTTCTCTTGGAAAATGCCTTTAAAGTAAATAAAACAAATTTAATTTTAATATTTAATATTTTAGAATTCAATTATTAGAAAATGGAATGTTTCTAAATCAATTAAAACAAATTTAGTCTTAATATTTAATATTTAAAAAATTAAATGTTTCTAAATAAATTAAATACATCCATTATCTGCAAACTGTTTTTTTTTTTTTTTGCAAAAATGTCTTGTTGATTATTCTCTTTTATAGAGCTTTGGTGCCATCCAGTATGGGATTCGTTATTATGTTGGCCACCGACGAAAGCCTCCACAACAGCGAGACAGCAATGTCCTTTTATAGATGGATTCGATATGACCAGTAAGTAAACATATTACAAATTCAATTTTCTACAAGTTTAAACTAAATTTGTTAAACATTAAATTAAACGTTAAATTAACAGCGCGCGACAATCAATTTTAACATCTTTTTATCGTCATTTCTTCTTATATCAAGTTAAATTTTTTCAAGAAATAGAAGAAGTTAAAGTATTTTGATAATTTAAAAATCCAATTACTTTATAAAATCCTTGCAATCAACCGCATAAACCAGGAAAAATCTTTTTTAATAAAATAAAATCTCAAGTAATAAGACAGAATTCGAGCACAATGCAAATTGCACGACGCAAATGAAAATTCTACTTTTTGAATCGCTGAAATGTTGCGCAACTAACTTCGTGGAAGCTTTGAAAAACGAATCAGTCTATATAGAACTATTCCTATTACGTCGTCTTACACACATATACACAACATGTGAATAACGTACGGATGTACGCCAAGTATGAAAAGCGGCCGTAATCCGCCCTTTAATTTTCTAAGCTTTAAAGAAACCTTTAATACGAACTGTTTCCGATTTTTCTATACATTTTTTTTTACGAAATGTTCAATTTTTTACCTACAAAAGACAGATAAATGTAGAGTTTTTTTTAAATATATAAAATAAAGTAATATATATTTCCATTTTTAATTTAATGTAAAAACCGAGCATGTTATATTTAAGGATAAAATGTGAAACAAAATCAAAATTATACGAGTATCTAACGAATTAAATTAGTTTATGTGAAAATGTTGCAAATGTTAAATAATCAGAACTTGGATATACCTGTGTTTTAAACAGTTTATTATTAAGTTTAAAATCGGGTACAAATTGCGTGTGACATTTTCATCGAATATTGTTTCGACGAGAATGTGTTTTGCTTTGTGTTTCTTTTTATTTTTAAAGGTCGAAACACATTTTGCCATTATTTTAAGAAAATAAAAAAACATACAATAATATAGAAATTATTTTAATATAAAATCTACAAAGAGAGAGATCTATGTAATTATTAGTTTGACATTTTTCAAAATTACAGTTTATCTCGTACATGCATTTTAAAATTATATTGCTACAAGCTTAACGGTATCAAATTTTTAATATCACTGTAATAAAAGTTAATAAGAAAAGAAACAATGTTAGAACAAAACTACGATGTTTTCTTTAATAAAACGAAGGTACGATTAAAGATATTTTCAGTGACGACGTCAGTTCATAACGACTACATTTTCTTTATATAAAGATCTCACCTATTTTTTCCAGAATCTGTAGAAAAGAAATGTAGTTACAATGGACGCTGGGAGGCACAAAATGGCACAAGCACAAACGAGGATTCGCCTATTGGCTGGGCTAATTATACCACTTGCTTGACGCCAGAAATACTGTGGCTTCACCACAGAGTTTTTAACAATAATGTCGAAGGCGAGGTAAGCTTCGTCAATATGATAAAACTTTTAAAAATTGTAATCTGCAAATTTCTAGCGATCGAACTGAATTTACACGTAGTTATGCAATACAAAATCAGTTTCTTTAACAAAGCTATTAACTTGTATTTTTTAATTAAAAATACAATTAAAAATAATAAATTTCAATTTTTCGAAATTAATTAAAGTTGAGTTCTTTAAAAATCAATCAATCTCCACAAGTTTCTTAAATAATTACTTTGTCTTCTAAACGTTTAAAGTTTTAAAGACAATATTTGATTCTTTAAAGTTACATAGTCAGAGTATAACTAATATTTTAACTGTTACTAACATTTCAGCAACGAAAAGTAAAGCAATTTGAATTTATCCATTTTGATGTTTACTGATGAGATATATTAACAGATGTGATTAGATTTAATTTTTGAAATAAATATTTTAAATAAATGTAGAAACTTTTTACACGTACACGCAGAAAATTTTAAATAAAAAATTACTATGTACGGCAGTTGCCGCAAACAATAAAGGGATTATAAAAATTTTTACTATGCTTTTCACATAATGGCCATAGTATTTAAAGTTATAATTGCTTCTACGGTCTACGGCTACTGCCGTATCATAATTTTGAATGTAAAATTTTTTCCGTATCTACAGTATAATTTAAGATGTAATTAAATTCTTGCCGATAACTCTTGCCACGTAGGAGAATTTCATATTGTACGAAAAGTTTTGCATGTTTTTCCGACAATCAGGTATATCAATGATATGCAAATTTCATTCTCACATTGTGGCACGGCCGGCGCTTCGTTATTCTCTTCTATTTTATCTCGGTTTTTTTAGATGAAAATGGAAATAGCGGAGAAGACCCGCATTCTGGAGTTTGTCGGTCTCAGTATTTCTCTGGTGGCGTTGCTTGCTTCTCTCGTGATTTTCTGTCGATTTAGGTGAGTGTGTTTCAGCGAATAACTTTCCGCATTTTCCACGCGCGTGAGAAGGCTCAGCCGGAAGTGAATGCAATTGTTATGTCACGCACTTCAATGCCTTTCTCTAAGTCGGCGTTGCTTAAGTATAAGCGCATTCATTAACCCAGTAATACGTAATCGCATTACACGCCGCAAGCATATCCGTTGGTACAGCGAAAAATCAATATCAGTATAAATTTACTTGAGCAGTTGAAGAATGGAAGTTCAACGGTATTTCCGTCGATTAAATTTCATAGGTCGTTGCGGAACACGAGAACGAGAATCCACAGGAATCTTTTTGTCGCCATGATTGTGCAAGTGTTAATCAGATTAACGTTGTACATAGACTTCGCAATATTTCGAAGAAAACCCCAAGGCGTGCAACGAGGAATAGGAAACACCGTAAGACATAATGAAATTATTTTCCTTGTTACATAAGAGAAAAGAGGACGCAATTATTTTTCCAATCTTCTTCGGAGATCTACACGGAAAAAAAGATGATATTTCATTCGTCGAACTGGAATAAATTCTGTTGATCCAATAATTACAATTGAAACGAGAGCACAGTGTATTTATTTAATTAGTACTATTAATGAGATTTATTTATAATTAAGTTGAACAAATACTATTGATACAACATCATCTTTTTTTGTGTTTTGTGCGATTGTCATATTTTTATATAGCACACTTTGTCTCTATATATTTCTATAGCAACATTTTCTAATTAATTTTCTACTATCTGCTAATGAGTTTACGTAGAGATCAGACACACTACAATGCCGATAAAATTGCATTCCAACGAGAGAAAAGTTCCTTTACAACGTTCGAGACGAATGGAGAACGTAATTTTGTTGGAGCAGATCGCTGATTTAATTCAGACGAGTGCATTACCTTACTGAGCACTGATTTTCTTTGCACATGCAAAAGAAAGATAAATTTTATACGGTGCATATTCGTATGAGCGTGCTTTTTCGTGAAAAGTATTTCATATTGTTTTCTTTTCAGCCGGTGCTATGCGAAGCGAGTTACGCGCTACTGGAGTATGTCAAAACTGCCATGTTTATGTGGATGTTTATAGAGGGTCTGTTTTTGCACAACATGGTAACCGGTATGTACTTTACATTTTATGTGTGGTTGTGCTAATCTCGTTAAGAAATGCCAAACGAGCATAAAAGGGAGATGAAAAAACGGTTTGTTACCCACAATACGCTGATTTAGTTGTACATGCAGTTTTCAAGCTCAGCATTATCCCCTTCTGAATTTTATAAAATTAAATCTAAAAATAAATACACATGATTAATTATATATTTGACTTATAAATAAATCAGATTTTTTTAAAATTAAAAGCAAATTAGCATTTTTATTTAAATTTGATTGCTGTCACATTATTGCATTTTGATGAATTATAATTTTACAGTGATGGTCTTTGAAGAAACCTCCCATTATCGAATGTATCAATTCATTGGATGGGGATGTCCAGTGCTAATGACATTGATTTGGACCATTGTAATGGCATTTTATTATCATCCGAAATCAAAGTACGTCGATTGTTTGATTGTTAAAAGTACATGACATTATCGTGCCAGTACTAAGTATTGAGTATCTAAATTCGATCAACCTTTTTTGTCGATTTTTTCCTAACAAAAGCATTGACAGAAATTTTCGTCTTCAATTCTGTTAGATTTCTTAGATGCTGGTCAGGATACAACCTATCGTCTTACTTTTGGATTCTCGAAGGACCCAGATTCGCGGTGATATTGGTAAGAGTTTTAATAATTAAAAAAGATAGATTTAACTTTGATATTCAATAAAATATCGACATCAATAAAATATGAAGTTAAATCTACTTACATCAATAAAATATACGAAAGCACATTAATAAATATAATTATTAATGTAATGTAAATAAATTATTCGTGTTAAAATTTATATTATAATATGTTTAATTAATTCTGTGATAAATAGTGAATTGTATAATAGATGTAATATATAATATTCTTTTTAAAAAATATACTCCGCATCTCAACTTAAAACACAATTGATATAAATTATATAAAATAACTTAAAATTTAATCGCTAATAAATAATAATACATATTAATCATATTTTCTTTCATTTGTCCTTAGCTCAACTTTCTGTTTTTGCTGAACATTATAAGAGTGCTCGTTGTAAAGCTGCGGCAAAGTCACACAAGTGAGGTTAAACAAGTTTTGTAAGTATGCAAGTAAGCAGCAATTTAATGTTTCTGCTAAAAGATTAATAAAAGAAAAAAGCTTAAAATATTCTTTAATCTTACAACTATTAATTCCTCGCAAATCGGTTTCTTGGTCAATCAACTCTCTAAATTTCTTGGAGTGGAATCTCACTCTTCTGGAGCGAAAAATTACTCCAAGTAATAATGAAAATCCTGCCAGTCGAAGTGGAATAAAATTTCACTTTTCGAAAAAGTGAAATCGGAACGTCTTAAAGACGTCATTTTTGACATCTTTTCGACACGATGTCTACGTCTTTAAGACGTCTTATGTCCCGACATAAGACATCTTAAAGTTTTTGGACATGCGTGTTGTCTGGGATTTTGTTAATGTTTTCGATAACAATTATAATTACTTCCACTATTCCGAACTACGTACAAAATACATTAATCTCCCCCGGTTCTGACACTACCAACAAGAAGGCGATTTCACTTTAAGTTGGAGTAAAGTTTGGAGCGCTAACTCCACACGGAGTGAACAGGTCAGTGATTCCATTAGAGTGAAAATTTCACTTCAAAAAATTTAGAGAAAATTTTACTGTCCGCGATGAACGCGCTTGATCTCCATTTGAATTTTGTATATTATAAATGCTCAAATAAAGTACGCTTTACGTACAACTCATATCCACGCTTTAGTTCAAATAAATATACATATTTGTATTTGAGTAATAATATTCGAATAAATATTTTAACATTTAATGTTTGCTTGTAGCAGTTTCAATACTAAAATTATTTGAATAATTCTTATCGAAAAGATGGAATCTCGCTTCGAGATAAAAAATGCGATACATGATGAGTATCAGATTTCTGTCGCGGAAAATCTTTTCTAAAACAGAACTCTCGTAGAAAAGAAATGTAAAAATTGTTATATCGCAAATCGCAAATGGGTATCGATTCGTTGGTATCCTTTTGCACTTAATCTTTCGCTTTGCTATTTATCGTCCCAGGAGTTTTAATTGAACATTTACTGCTTGTTATTCACAAAGACGTTACAAACGCGTCTTGCTATTCCTTTTTGCATCGTGTTTCGTTGAAGTACATCCGACAATGGAGGCGGTAATGCGTCTCGAGTGGCCACCGATAAAAGCGATTTTATTGCTGCTCGTAGAAAAGCCGTGAGAGCAGCCGTGGTGCTCTTACCGTTGTTGGGAATCACCAATGTACTCTTCATGATTCAGGCTCCGTTGGATAATGTGAAAACGTTCGCCGTGTGGTCTTACTCCACGCACTTTCTGCAATCATTCCAGGGTCTCTTCATTGCGACCCTTTACTGCTTCCTTAATGGAGAGGTGAGCCGATCCTATTATCTATCGTATCCGTGAGCAAAGTGCTAATCAATCCGATTAAGATTGTTAGTAGATTAGTTGGCGTATAGATAGTACTTGTTACACAACATCAGTACACTTGAATAATGTAATTAGTAGATTTGATTGAATATAGCTGTTGTTTTTTTCAATTGATATATTTATTGTTGTAGCATAGCTGATTGAGTCAACAATTGATATTAAATCATTTACTGACGTTTACTCAAATCAGCGATTGATAAATATTTTGATCAGATTTTATATCGTCTTCTTTTCTTTTTTTTTTTGACTCAGGTAAGACTCGCTTTGGATAAAACTGTTGCCGTTTACCTCTCCCGCAGAGGAACTGATCTGCACATTAGAAGGCAATCGAACTTCAGCGGATGTCAGTCTCATCGAATAGCTCCGGGTAAGCTTAGACAAACATATTATTCTATAAGTAAATATAGGATAAAGTTGCCTTCGATGCAAAGATTTCTTCCAGTGTATTGACGAGAACTATATTACGCTCGTTTTCAAAGTTGATATTGCGGCGCATTATTATCAGAGAAATATTCCCACTGAAACATATAATTTGCCAAGAGCAAAATATTTTTTTAAAAAATGTAAGAGCTGCGCCCCAGGAAAGAAATGTCATACATAAATGGTCCAATTAGCGGTTACGTCACAAAATATTAATAATTTGTAGTACGATCTGTAATGATAAAATACAACATAATATAATATAATTATATTATATAACATAATAGCAAATTAAAAAATTTTAATGAGTCTAAAGACATATAATAACTCCTAAGGTACAAGCGATCATTATTTTTTGACATACATTGTTACGTAATAATTATTATTACATAATAATGCTGAATGCTGAATATCCTCTTATTAATTTTCCACGCATAGATTAATCCCGTGTCAATGAGAATCATAAAGGTATCATATGAAAGCGGACATTCATATACTATGCAACAGTATATTGATGATTAAAGTATAACGATATAATGTAACATACAGTAGACTCCTGTATTGCACGGGGTCGTATAACACGGATTCGTGTAACACGATAGAAAAATTGTAGAAGCGCTCTTATAACACAGTAACACAGGCTCGTATAACACAAATAAGTTTAATTTTACATTTGAATTTCTGCGTATAAAAGCTACATCTTCAATATTAATTTTACAGTTTTTATAATAAACCCTTACATCTTTTATAAATATGTGCTTCTATATGTATGCATAATCCACATATTTATAATCTGTGACTCGTATAACACGGATTTATATAACACGGAACGTATCTCTCGTGTTATATGGGAGTCTACTGTAATTACATTGATGCATTAATGGATTGACATGCAGCTTAATAAAATATTTGCTTGAAAAAAAATGAAAATCCATGATATATTAAGATTCCGAATCTAACACATACATATATATATCGTGCTTATCGAGAAACTTTGAGACTTTCATCGTTCGATGTTATTAATTTACTAATTCAATCGAGTCGAGGATTAAAATTGCAGTTATAACAGTCATGCGTTTTCCTTCCCTCGAGTCTGAGCGCGATACATTTTTCGATACTGTAGGCATTAATTGATTGCACACTTAATTTTCTTTGATGCTTATAGTAAATAATAAGTGATACCGAAAAAGAAAACTAAAAATTATCAATATTTATAATCGATTCTTGTGTAAAAACATTGGAAATAATTAATTTTTAATTAATAATTAATCAATTTGTGAAATACGTATGTGCATAGCAATTGAGTTGGAAGAGGAAGAAACGAGACCTACCGGCTTGATCAGATTGTGTTGTAACGACAGAAACACTCCGCCACCGGATCAGTCTGTCGAGTGAGTAGTGATCGAAAAAAAGCTTGTTTACCGGCGATAATCCGCTATTTAAATATGTATTTATCATTCCTTTTTGTAAAAAAATCGTGTATTAAATAAAACATATATTTTATGTGTATATATAATATTATACACGATAGCTTATCAGTTTCTCTCGAGGAAACGCGCTATATATTGCTTATTTGTTATTACTTCTGTATTATAATTATACTTGCGTAATTCATTTATCGTAGTTTACTCCTTTATTCGTTATTCACAAATTTTATAACTTGGCTTATATTATATTTATTGAAATAGAATTTAAATAAAATTGTCATTGTTTTTTTTTAGCTTTATTGAAAACCAAAACATATTTAATTTCAATTATATTATAAATACACGTTACTTTACATTATTATTATATTATATATATTTTACATGTATGCTTTGTAGTAAATAATTGTAGTAAATAATTATAAATAAAAAAACAACGTAAGTAATATTTTCTAAATAATAAAGCTGCAGACTTGTGCAAAATCCTTTATTATATTTCATTCATATATTTAAGGCCATAAAAATGTTTGACACATATCTCATATGTAAACGCATTTCTTGCATAGTTTTGCTTGAGGGCAGCTTTATATTATTTTACGTTGTGTTGCAGAACACAAGGGCAGAGAGATGAGAAGATTGAATGCGCATTTCCTCGAGGTATTTAGCTGCATTTATTTACTTGCGCTGGATTCTTTTCACTCGTTCCTTTCGTTACATTTACATACAAATGCTTAATATTTCTATGTTAAAATATTAGAAATAATCAATTTTATTTGTAATATTTAGTTAAATTAGATATATTATTTTATTCTATTTTATTTTTCAATCCATAATTATTTGCTATTGATGCGCAATCAAATCATATAAATTAATATTTTTAAATTTTCTGAACAATTGCTTCGATAAAATTATTGTTTTGGAACTAATAAATTTATAAAATAATTTAACTAAATTTATCAATTTTAAGGATCTATTAAACTTTCAATTTTTCGAAAGTTGATAAATATTAATTTATCAACTGGAATAACACAAGTGCTGTCTTTGTTTAAAAAGTTATGTTATTCATATTTACGCATAAATTACACATTTATAAATTTATATAAATTTTTTTAGAAAATGTATGTATTCTATAAAAAATATCGTTGCAGACCTTCATGTTTCAGAACGGCCGTCTGACAGCAGCAATCACGCGAATTCCTCAGTGTCCAACAACCAATCTCCTACTAAAGTCATTCCTTGGATAGTGGAGCTGCCAATGTCACATTCAGATTTTCAGCCAAAGGAAACAGAGTTTCACTCGCAGATCGACACAATATGCATCACGGCGCAGTGACCAAAAGGAATTTTTCATAAGTGTTGCTTAAGAAGCTCGATGTTCGATAAATAAGAGGATTCTCCAAAGAGAAAATTTTATATAAAAAAATCTATGACACAATAGTAGCCGCAGGCCATAAAAGGAATTATAAGTTTAAACACTATGGCCATTATGTAAAAAAAAAAAACATGGTAAAAGCTTTTTAAAATTTCTTCCTGGTCTGCGGCTATTGCCGTACATAATAATCTTTGACATGAAATTTTCTCCGCGCATCTTTCAGCCTCAATGCAAATTTCAAGATCTAAATTCTTCTTCATAATTATAAAAATTAGTGATGCTCAAATATTTTTAAATGGAAAACTTATTGAAAATCTTGCTTTCTTATCGTATTCAAAATAATGCAATGTTTTAAAAAGAGAAAATAAAATATTATTATTAATTATATTACTAGATCTTGAATTACTTTCGTAGTTAGAATTATATAGATATTTTTATTTAATTTCGTCTGTATTGTTAAAAATAAATAAAAATTTAAGCATCACTTAAAATACAATCTGTTTAAAAATAAAGAAATTGTCTATTTGGGCCTTTTTAATAAACAAATTATCATATTAAAAAAATAGCTATGTCAACCCAGAGCTGGGTGTTGGTTGCTCAGTAAAGAAAAGTTAATAATTAGTTAATTCACTTTAATTGAACCAACATCCAGCTCTAAGCTGACATAGCTATTTTTTTAATAGGTTGCTCAGTAAAGAAAAGTTAATAATTAGTTAATTCACTTTAATTGAACCAACATCCAGCTCTAAGCTGACATAGCTATTTTTTTAATATGATAATAATCTGTTTGTTACATAATTGTTAATTGTTACACTAATAATTGTGTAGTGCGATTTTATGGATCGTGTTGTGAATTGTATCATATCTTGAAGATCTATTTTAAAATTTCCAATTACATTTCTGTCACAGTAATCGAGACAAATCAATAGTTGCAAAAATTTGATATGTTTTCATTTCATTAACTTTATTCCAATGCAAATTTAATTATCCGCGGAAATAATTAATATAGAGAATAAAAATCAATAAATGATGGTTTTCAATATAATTTTTACTAAGAAAAAAAAGATTTTTATTTTAATTCTAATTTTTTAATTTTTAATATGAAATATTTTTCGAATATTGGACTCAATTATGTACATAATTATATACAGATTGCTTCAATCAAAAATGCTCTAAAAAAGTGAATCTTGGTTTTCGATTACGGAACTTTTTTTTTCCGAGTGAAAAAATCGATTGTCGAGGATCACAGAGATTCGTAAAAAGAATGGAAATCCGGCTTACTAATCGCAAAAAATTTTCTCTGCGTCACAGGAAACTATTTGCTGCACCTTGACCTTAGCCGACTAAAATTACTCACTCATTATCCGGGGAAAGGTCTACTTTCAACATTCATGCTTGACGCACAAGTCACATGCAAATGTATGAAAAGCAAAATTCGGAGTTCAGACGCAAAGAAACAGATGTTAATAATGAAGACGGATTGTAAAAATTATTTAAAATGCTTAAAATTATTAAAATTCTGACTACTTGATACTTTGTCGTATTTTATTGATAGTAAAATATTTTTTTATTGTTAAAATTTGAAGATTACTTTTGTGAAAGTTTACGCTACATTTTTTCAATATAATAAATCATATTATCAAATGTTATTAGACAAGTACAATTTTATTAAAAATAATTTTTTTAATTCTTAAAATCTTTAGCTCTTGTTCTCATAATAAACCATTTTCTCGAAAAAAATATATTGTATTTTGCAGACAAAAATTAGTCCGTGAAATATTAGATCTATACTAGTTTTATTTTTTATACTTTTCTATTTCTTTGCAATCTTTTATGTTTTTTGGAAATTTAAATATAGAATGTTGTAGGATTAGCAAAAAGTGGAATCAGAACTTTCTTCTTTGTGAAATTTAAAACCAATGTTACTGTTGCAAAAATATATTTTATGGAATAGCAACATTTTTCATAATTCTTTTTTAAAGTTGATATTATAATAAAGTATAATAAAGTATTAACACTTCCTAAAATAGGTACATGATTCAAACAGAATTACATATTTTCATTATTATTTATTTTTACTCCGAAACTTCTCTAATTTTCAAAAAGCTTTATTTCTAATAATAGTATGATAGGGAAATTTCACAAAAGATAGAGATTACTTTTTTCTTTATTAAAGTTAAGACTTAAAAACTTAAACTGGTCTTATAATTTTTACTTTGCGTCTTCTTCTAATTGTTCGGAAAAGTGAACTTTATAGCAAGCATTATACTTTTACATGTTATGAAATACGGAGATAATTAATTCTTGCTAATACATATCGTTAAAATTAAGATCTACAATTTCAATATATCTTATAAAACATCTCAATTAGTGCTTTCGTGCACGTTTTTAATGACTTTAATTAAATTCTATTTTCTACATATATCAAATTCCCTAACGTGGTCAAAAATCTTCTATTGTACACGGAGATAATTTTATATCAAAAATTATGTACGGCAGTAGCCGCGGACCATGAAAAAATTATAAAAAGTTTTTACTATGTTTTTCACATGTAAAACATAGTAAAAATTTTCAGTCCGCAGTTACTGCCGCATATAGTAATTTTTTATATAAAATTTTCTCCGTATGCTTACACGAAATATTTTCAGTGTAAATAAATGAATGAACATTGTAATCGAAAATATTGTTGTACTGCATTATCGTTGTAATCGCACTACTGTTGTAAATATAGGTATCTTTTAAAATAGCATGAAGAAATGAATTACAGGCGGTTTTAGAAATAATCAAACGACTTTTCCAATGTTAAATTACCATAAAATCAATTTGTGCGGTGTTTATATGTATTTTCTCTTATAAAATAAACAAAAATTAAATTATATTTTGTATACAGGATTTTATATTGTAAAAAAATTATTCATACAATTTCAAATATACTGATATTATATTAAGTACTTTAATTTAAATTTAATTCTTTATCCTGCGATATAATATATAGCAAATATAATGTTCTTTTTACATCTCTTTATATATAATTATTCTTGAATTGATCATTACTACAAAGTATTCCCAATGATAAAGTACACTTTACTTAATAACTTGTTTAATCGAACAAAATTTCGTATCTTTTATTTTTTAATTTTAATAAAATTTAATAGAAAAATTTGTATAACGCTATACATTATACAAATAAAATTATTCTTGAAAAATATATTCGATATACATATTACAGATATATTATATTCAAACTTATCGTATTTCAAGAATAAAATAGAACAACACAAGCAGTTTGTTTCTATAGATTTTATTGCTGTATACATGATATAGAAAAACGTGCTAGCGTACAAAATTCTTTGCAAAGGAACATCAATTCCTGTCTCTTTTTCTTAAAATATAAATGTAATATTTTGTTATCAAACAAAAAGATAAGCTGTTATTCTTTACATATCGCATGAAAGATCATATATTGTAAGAAATTGCGATAAAAATTCTACGAAAAAGGACGGACTTGCAACCCTTCATCCATTTTACAATCGATCATCCAATTGGCGAATAATTATTGGTAATCTTGCAAACGATCCGATTAAGTCATTTCTGTCTCTATCGTAAATTAATGTAACGTTAATCTGTCACCGTGTCGTGACTATAATAGTTGTGTCTACTTAAACGATATTCTACGTCGTAAAGACTATCACAGATATGTTCTATAAAAGCCTACAATTTTTCGTTTGTGCGGTAGGTCGATCAACGTTTGTAAAGAAATTTCATTAAAAATCGCTAGCAAGTACCCTGCGCGAATCGATTAATTAATTGATTTGGTCTCCCTTATTGATCACGGTTCGATAAATTATATTGTCTATTTAGTACGAATGTCGGAGGAACTCTCTCCTAGGACATTTGAAAATATTTATATCGAAGTTATTTCACTTAGTAAATATTCAGTTTGGTTATAAGTTTAGTTAATAATATGAAGTTATCATAAGAAAACTATCGAAACTCGTCATGGAAACTTTTCTCGGTGTCTACCATCTTACTATCAAGAAATAGGTCCATCTTACTGAGAATTTCCGGCAGATCCAGCTTTCCGTCGAAATTAATGTCTGACAAACTGATTAAGTGTTGAGCCTCTTGAATGGCATGTCTGGGATTTCGTGGATCGATGTACATCTAGGCGAGAAAAATTACAGCTTACCGCAAAAATTTAAAAGAAGAAATATTTCTCATCAAATTTTACTCTTTAATATGCAGGGTGTCTCACAAAATTCTTATTTTAAATAATTGTATGCTGTTGTAATTAATAGTATTAATTTTAAAAAATCATTATTTTGTCGTAAGCCGAATTTTTTCAAAGAGGGTCATATATTTGTTTACCACAATTCGTAGAAATAAGCAAAATATATTCTTTTATGTCAATTACTCGCTTAATATTGAATTTCAATGTATTTAAAATTAGAATTAATATTTTACAAAAATATACACCATTCCTCAAAGAATAGAAAACACTTTTCAGACGCTTTTATTCTTAAAATTTACAGTTTGATAAAAAAATGTTCTAAAACAGCTCACAGCACATAAAAGTACAAACTTTAAGCTTTAAAATGCTTTTTTAATTTTCTATCTACGATGATTTTTCACCGAATTACAACGGTTTAAAAATTTATGAATTTTAAGCGTCTGAACGTCTCGACGCGACAGAACAGTGCGACCGACTCGCTGAGTGCTCGCCATTAATACGATATCGCGCGTATTAATGGCGCGCACTCAGCGAGTCGGTCACACTGTTCTGTCGCGTCGAGACGTTCAGACGCTTAAAATTCATAAATTTTTAAACCGTTGTAATTCGGTGAAAAATCATCGTAGATAGAAAATTAAAAAAACATTTTAAAGCTTAAAGTTTGTACTTTCACGTATTGTAGACCGTTTTAAAAATTTTTTTTATGCTAAATTTATAAGTACTTTTAAGAACAAAAGCGTCTGAAAAGTATTATCTATTTTTTGTAGAGTAGTGTATATTGTTCTACAATTTTAAATAGCCTTAATTTAAAAAAAAAGATGATACAAAATTTTTCTCCATTATATTATTGACTGTGGAATAACGGACTTAATTTCTTACGTTCTATTACTTACCAGAAGTTCGGTTCGATCTGCTTTGCCATTCTTGTTCTTATCGATCAAATGTCGAAACTCTTTACGCCTGTCTTCGCTGCCTCCTATTGACTGCTGTCGGTCTTCACGTAAATCCAGGCCAACTCCCTCCGAGGGCAAATCCGAGAACTCGTCTTCCGTTAATTGCTCGTCACCGTCTCGATCTAATAACAAGCGCATAAACGGATTGCGCTATTACAAATTTGCACGCTAGCAAATTGTAAAACGAGGAACAAAAGTCATAAAAAAATTTTTATATTGTACGATCCGTTAAAAAGGTAGCTTACCGAATTTTTCAAAGAGATCCTCCACCATTTGTAGGAGAGCTCTATGGCTGCTCTCGGGATGTGTGAAAGCCAGAAATTCATCCAATGCCAATCTATCTGGATCGTTTCGGGCCGCCTCGGCCCATCGTGCTCTATCTCTCATTATACTTTCTTTCAACGTCCGCGACATTTCATTGTGTTTCTTGTCATGAGAATTTATATAAGTCTCTGAGAAACCATGAGATCTCAGAAAATAAGCGTGATATTCTTCCCACGACACCTCACCTGCAACAAGTGTTGAAAAGTAACTATTAACGATAATTCACACTGTCAGACATTATTATACTTGCAGTTAGATGATTGATGACGGTAATTCATATCTAACTTTGTTTTACTTCAGCGGTTTTTAATTTTTTTTTTTGGTGCTACGTACAATTTCACGAAATTTTCTTCGAAGTACCGTGAGAATTCGCTGTTTGTAAATATTCCAAACTAATTATAATTTTACATTAATGTTTCAGTTAAATTGAAACAAAGATGTAAAAATCATTTACGCGTAATTTTTGATATATATTCATATAAATAAAAAATCACTACTTTATTCTAAAATAATGTAAAATAATTTAAATTTCCATAATTAGTTATGTAATGTGCGTATATAAACATAATTACTCGATATACGTTACCATTTCTAGGATTGTTGTCGATGGCGGTGAACAGCCCGACGTTCTCCTGCATTGCGCGCGTTATATGCTCAGTGATCTTAGCGTGAATCCACTTCGCCAATTCCTGGATATCCAACAATTGATTCTCGTCCATGTCGGCTTTCCGGAAAATGTCTTCCAGAAGGTCTCTAGGATTTTCGCGATTTTCCGCCTCCACGACTTCCCGTATGCTCTCCTCGTCCCGACGATCGCTTCCGATATCTTTGTACTTCGTCAAGTCCTTTTTATCAACCGTCACGGATTCCAATTCCAAAAACAAATTCTCCATCATGGAACTTTCTTTATCCTTGTCGTTCGGTGTTGGTAGACTTTTCAGAGGTACGCTTTTGTTGTATTTGACAAATAGAAGCGAGATATAAATTACGAGCGGCACCAGAACGGTCCAACGCAGGAATCGCAAGCACGTCAGTTCTTGCTTGCAGATTATCTTTCGTACCTTTCAATATAAATAATAACTAAAGTTACAAATATTTGTTTAAATTAAAAATGTAAAAGGTAGATAGTGACTTAAATTATAAAAATTCAAGTAAACATTTAAAAGAAAAATATAACAGGTAACAGAATATAAGCGTTCTTTTACAAATTAATTATTTTGCTCCTAAATTATAATTCACAAATGTATTTTTATCACAAATAAAATACGAAATAACTGTCTTTACAATACAGTTTATAGATCAGTATGCATTTTGGCAAATTATAAAATAGCAAGAAATAATCTGAATACGCCGAATAGTAAACTTCTAATAAAATGCCAATATTTTGTTCTTACTTACTAGATGTGACAAGTACATCTCGGTCACTTAACGTGTACACGACGTTTCGAAGCGCTTTCTAATTCTCTCTTCGTCCTCTTACGAACCGGCCGGAGTTTCCAATCTCTCCGATACGGTAGAATCGACCTATCGCCTGTCCGTCATTGTCACACCTGTATAATCTAACGCATAATCGGAATATCATTTGATCATCAGTGACAAACATGTGATTCATTCCTCGATACGCGATATACAACATAAATTATTACGAGGGGAGAAATTGAGAATCAGCGCACAAACATTCGTGCGAATAAAAGACGGAAAACTGTCAATTTCCTTAATTGTTCCGTATCGAATTTTGAGCCGCCAAGATAAAACGCTTTGCCCACAAACTCGTTTGATTAATCACATCGCTGTACGTGTTACACAGGGCACTCACACAATTGACGATCACAATTGTCGGATCGTGAATCTGTCAACAATCACTACAAATGTTCTCACGAACGTGGACGGCCGACTTCGCAGGAGAGACGGACCGCACGCTGCTAGACGGCCCGCACGCTCACCGCGTATTGATCCACTTTCACTGTCTCGTTCTCCCTCTCTCTTCCTTCCGACAATAACAACGGTATTAACGTGCACTCACCTTGTACATTTGTGCATTTAATAGGATACCGATTCAATTGAATCTTATGATTATAAATTGAACATTATTATTAGAAAAAAATCAAATAAGGTAAAAATCATTAACAAGGAACGATAAGGATAACAAAGGAAAAGATAAGCGCAAAATATAGGACTCGTTTATCACGAAAGTGGTGTAATTCAAATTTTAAAATATAATGGATTTAAATAATATATGAATACAAATTCACGCAATGTCTTTGATTTTAACAAAATCTTTCGCGTTTCGATTTTCGCCGTAAACGCCATTTTTGACATAAACAATTAATGTATTTAATTAATAAAAATTCAACACAATTCAATTGCACATTAGCACAACCATTTTATGTACAACTTATAGCGGACACTCAATTAAGAAATTATTTATAATTGAGCGTTAAATTGATTTGTGTGATGGAAAGACCAGCGCTATTCTGTTATTTAGCTACAAATTATCTTGACAATACAGAATTACTTAAAAACTACTTTACTAACAAATAGATAATTGGTCCTCGAATTAAATTAGTAATTTAAGAATTTTTTTTTAAAGTTAAAACTAAATTTAATCTTAAACAAAAGTATAATAATATAAAAATTAATTTCATGTGATGGAGTATTCCTTATTGTTGCCTGTGTGTATATGTACGGACAAAGTGATGAATGAGGCATTATGCATAATGCCCGAGTTGTTAATTTATCGCTTTAACCAGGCAATATAATTAAAAATAAATATAAATAAATATATATATATATATATATATTTATATATATGTATATATCTATATTTATTTATCACTCTACTCGACTGGTCTCAGGCATTATGCCTCATTTATCACTTTGTCCATAACTTATATATTTCTAGTTATTCTCTAATTATATTTATGGCTATTTATTTATTTATTACTTTCTGTTATTTTATTTGTGAAAAATAAGTTTACAATAGAGTTTTTACTTCTATGACAATTGTATGGAAAATCCAAGTAAATCAAATTATATAAATCGAAGAGAAAAGATATATAAAGGGTATGTTAATATACGAAGTTTTTTTTAACTTACATATCGTAGCATGTTTTTGAGCAAATGCGATAATTTAAAAAATGTGATTTACAATAATAATTTTATTAATTTATAATGATAATTTCTGTTATGTTTGTCTTGTTTCGTTATGGCGTATTCGTTGAAAATAAATTCCGAAGTCGCAATAATGTCGATACATTTATAACTAATTTATATTACTTTGTGTATGGAAATAAAATGTAAAAGTTGCAAGGTAAAATTCTTCGCAATTTTCGCAAATTATTTATATTAATTACATAAATGCGACATTATTCTTAATAATCCCACAATTAGAAAAATAGATATCTTACATATATATATATATATTAATTGAAAAATTCAATTTTTCCTTAAAATATTAATACTGTAAGATTATGAAATTACAGAGCAGTTCACTCTCTGTTAAATTCAAACATTTCATAAGTATCCGGAATATGTTTGCACGATTACAACTCTTTTTAAATGTATTTACGATGTTTGTCAAATTTGTGTACTGAAGATATATTTATTCTACCTTTATGTAGCAAAATTCTAAAAAAAGCCTAAAAATGTCAAATAAATGCTCGCTAATACCATCGTAAATTCTCGAAAATATCATGCAACTCGCTCCGGTCGTTCGGAATAACAGATAAAACGCTTGCTAAACTAGACCACGACAAATCTAGTGCACAATATTTAATTCGCGTTTCGGCAGCCGCTTCTCTCAATACGGACTCTCCCGTTCAGGGGCACTTCGGGCTTTTGCAAATATCTATCTGCCGAGGCTTCTCGTCCTCCAACTCGAGGCCCAAGTTTGCGATACCTTGGACATTCGCAGAAGCTTGAGGCTTTGTCTGTATGCGGAACATTGCCGCAATCGGCGGACTCAGGAAATCTTGGTCGACATCAGCGGGATTTTGTGCGCCCGTTATAAAACTCACTGTCAAGCCCACTAACATGGTTAACACGCAACCGATCGCGCTATACCACAGGTAACTGGTCTGCAAATAAAATATGTTAATATTATTAGCATTATAGTTCAATTTAATTAAATTTATTACAAAGTCCGGTACACACGGAGAAAATTTTATATCAAAAATTACTACGATACGGCAGTAGCCGAGAACCACAAGAAGAAATATATGTTTAAATACTATGGCCATTATGTAAAAATCATAGTGAAAATTTTTATAATTCCTTCATCGTTCGCGGCTATCACTACCATACATAACAATTTTTGATACAAAATATTCTCCATGTAGAAACTAAAAAATGCATTACAATTTTTACGGATAAGTCTCACCTTGTATATAGACCAAACTTCGTTATCAGAGCTGTGCTCAGTTTGATTAAGGATGATCGTAGTCTCATTTATACAAGGGCAGTTTGCAATCGATATCGGCTTGCTGTCTAAATGTATCTGTCCATTTACAGCGGCGACTTGGGCGCCTAATCCAATCCATAATACGACTATTAAACTCGTAATAGCACCTACCATTGCTCCTTTAGCATTAGCCCATGGCACAAACATGCCCAAGGAGAATAATCCCAAAGTCACGCCGCCCACCATGCCGTTGAAAGACAGTGCGACCTGAGAATAACAATTTCTTCAATAATGCGTTTAAGAACTCCGGCGCGGCACAATGTACAGATAATATATAAAATATATAATAAAGATGATAAGATTTTGTCATTCAACTTTTGTTAATTATCGATAAAATGATTATATATATTATTGATAATAACGTTATATTTTCTTTCATCTTTTTTTTGAATTCGCAAGCGATGTACTTAACATATTTAACGTACCTGCAAAACGCTACCGAGTCGTTCAACGACGAAGACCAGCGCAAAACTAAGTACACCAAAAAATATACTAATCCATCTAGCGTAATTGGCACCCTTTTTTGCGGACAACTCCATCTGAAAGAGGCCGCGTAGAATATCCTCGCATGTTATCGCTGCTAACGAATTCAGAGCGCTCGCCACAGTTCTGAAATAAAATTTATAATATTTTTCTTATAAATAAAATACAAGCTGTGTAAAAATTTTTGTTTATTCTGTAAATTTATCAATTTTGAACAAATAAATTCATAAATATTTTTTGTTTTTAGAAGCTCCATTCACGAAGGTATTATTTACGAACCCGAGAGACGCGGCGAAAATTCCAGCGACGAAGAATCCGGGTACACCATGAAGGCCTCCCATAAAATTCATTACATATAAGGGAAGTATTTGATCCTGGTCGCTTATATAACCGGCGGTTAAAGGATCGCAGTCTTTGTAAGCTCTGTACAGCACCATTCCAGTCAGAAAGTTTATACTATAAATTATGATCATACCAAACGAAGACACCCATAGCGCTCTGTAATGCAACAATGAGTTTTTTTATACATAAATGTCTCAATTGTCAAACCATTGTGATAAAATAGTAATTGAGAAAATCGATGTATAACTTAAAAAATTGTTATTTAAGAAAACACTAATTTATTTTTTTGGTAAGACTCTTGAATTTTTGTAGATCAATTATTTCGGAAACTTACATTCTCACTTGTGATATCCTCTCAACGCTGAGATACTTTTGGACGGACGCCTGGTTGCTGCAGAACATGGTAGCCCAGTAAAAAGTACCACCAATGACGACACTCCAGAAGCTATGCCGTACCGTGGGACTAGGATTCATGTTCAAGAACTCTATTCTTTCAGATTTCACGTTTTCCTCCCAAACAAGCGCAATACCGCCCGCCCAAGACAATCCGTAACCCAAAATAAGAAACAACGAGCCAAGAAGAACAGCAGCTTGAAAAGTGTCGGTCATTATCACGGCTTTCATACCACCCTATTGTGATAAAAAATCATGTCTTAAATAATCGCAGGAAAAGTATCGTAAATAAATAAATAAATGAAATATTCTAAATTTCATTGCAGTCAGAAATTATATTATTTTGGCAGTTAAGACTTTTTAAAAACTTCTTATGAAAACAAAACTGACGGCTGCAATAAATAAATGATAAAATGATTTTATTATTTGAAAGGTACAAACCTGGGAAGCGTAGAAAATGCAAACTACGTAGACTAGAGTGACGGCTATGTAAGTATTCAGGCCTGTGACTGTAAATCAAAAAACATTAATTAAGATTGTGCGGCTATTAAAGTAGTTGCGTAAATTGTTATTTTCTGCGGCAGTAAGGGGTTTACTGTAAATAATTGCAAGTTATTACAATCTTAGCCATCACTCACCGCGGCTTAACGCTAATGCAGGCGCATACACAGCCACTGATGTATACAACACCATTTGCAGCATGTACAATCCGCTCGCGAGCAATCGGCAGTTCCGATTAAAACGCAGATGCAGATATTCGTAGCTCGAAGTCAGCCTTAATTTCATGAACACCGGCAGGTACAAGCGAGAGGTGATCGGTACCACGAGTATAAAAGAGAGGCAGGTCATCCAAAATTGAGTGCCCTGAATAAAAAGAAAATAGATGAGTTTTTAAAAACGTGCGAACTAGTATTTTAAGTCTTCGTTTCATAATAGAATACGCAATCACGTGAATTTTTAACGTTTGTCGTTTTTATAATAGACAAATTCACATTATAAAATCGTCGCACCTGTTCGTACATTTCCGCAGGATTTCCCAGAAGCTCGATGGCTGTGATAAAACTGGCGGCCAACGACATCGCTGTGGGAAACGTGCCCATAGAGGAACCACCCAGCAGAAAGTCCTGGCTAGTTTCCTGCTTCTTGGAAAAAAAGCCGTAAAAGGTGCCAATCAAGCATGACACTAACAGCATTATGGCGAGCACCGTATAATCCGCCCATGAGAAATAATGGAGCAAGGTAGGATGCTCGTCGTGACATTTTTCTTCATCGCTTTTAACACGTCGCTGCTCTGCGGATGACGCCGACAAGAAAAGGAACAGAACAAGAAGATGTGGCCGCATTTTTGGAGAAACCTGTCAATTGTTTCACAGTTGCATTTTTACATTATCAAATTAATTATGTGGTGAAAAGATGTAATTATGAGCATATAAAGCCAAACGTCTGTCAAGCTGAAAAATATTTCAGAAGAAAATTTTTAAATAAATTTGCAATCAATTTCTGCTTAAAAATTCTTCTAATAGAATTATTTAGTAGAAATACGTATATTTCTGTTATAAGTGAGATAAAAAAAGACTGATAATGTGTATAATCAGAAACGACACACGCAAGTGATTCACTAATTCAAGATACATTTATCGTCAACATTTACTGTCAACTGACAGATTTATTTACTTATTTAATTATCTAATTGTCAATTATCTGCTATAAAACAATGTTTTATTACATGACTGCGTACTAATTAAGTAATCTTACGCACGTCAAGTATAATTCCTGAAAATTATTCAACAATACTTCATCGGCGCTTTAACAATTCTTTAACGATGTATAAATTGATATACGACATTGTCTCAATTGGTTCTTTCGACACTATTTATCACTCTGAATTGCACAAATATTATTATCTCGATTATATTGAAGATATCACATACCATTATAGTCGATTCTCTCAACATTTTACTGACATAGTTTTGAATCTACGAATACCCAGCTAAGCAAAGTTTCAATAATATTAGCCTATAGAAAGTACTAGAAATTTATAATGTACCAAAAAAGTATCGAATAAATTTAGTATTCAAAAATCAATCTGTTTTTTAATCAATAATTATGATAATCACAATAATGTAAAATCGCAAATTAAAAATTATAATTTTTATCAGAAAAAAATTTTGAAAAAAAATAAATCTTATATATAATAAATAAATATTTATTTATTCATAAATTACCGTTAAAATGAATAATCAGTAAAAAATCTGTCTCTATAAATATGTATCATTTTAATTACTTATAATCGAATCGGCAATGAAATGTAAAATTGATTGATCTTTCGCAATCTACGCGATTCCTGTAATTTAGCTATTTGCGCATCGCTATAGACAATAATTGCCAATAACTATTGGCAGTATCGTCACCAATGTTACCATTCTTCGATCATTATTAAGATATATGTTTGAACTGGCTGGACTATTAGTTCTCTAGTTAGAACCGGTTAGTGCAACATCAAACCACAATTTAATTGGCCGATGATAGAAAAAAAGTACAATTTTATTATAATTTTTGTAAAATCTCAATTTTATAAAAGAAAATAAACTCTACACAATAGCTGTATTTTGTTTTATAAGAATAATAAAACATAATCAATGTTATATAAAGCTTCATCTTTTTTAATCGAAATTATCAATAAATTCCAAGACCGTAACAATTGAAGTTAATGCAAAAAGTTTATATAAGAAAATAAAATTATATAAGAAGAGTTTGTATAAAAATTAACTAATGTGCAAATAAAAAATGCAATTTTATAAGCTTTTTTTAGATAATAAATTATATTTTTTTTATTATATACAAAAAATGTATTCTAGAATCTTCATAAAATAGAAGATTGAGCTATCGATATCTAATATTGTTTGCTCAGTTATTGTAATAGTAAGATAGACAATACACGATAAAAGACTAGTTATTTGAAAAATATTTGTTACTTACAATATTTGATGTAAGATTATTAAGATAAGATTATTAAGATAAATGATTGTTATTAGTACTACTGTTTTTTCTCTAATTTGCACTGATTTAAAATGTAAAATATGTTTCACTTGTAAAAAAATTATATATGCTGTATTGTTTTTCTCAATAAATATTCGTGTAAATTGACTAAAATTCTCTATTGAAACAAAAAGTAAACATAAAAAAATTAGGAACGTTACAGAATTATCATTGACTTTATTTTATTAATGCTTCTTTCAAATTATATAAAAAAAAGCTTACAAAATATATAATTATAATAATTCTATTTTAAATAATTGTATGCAATATTTATGCAATATTATCTTTTTTAAATACATAATATGCAAATATTGTTAAAATGTGTTTTACTTGTGAATAAAGTTATGTAAAAGTTTTCTTCACAGTTAGATAATAAAGACATTAAAGCGCTGAATAACAAAAAAACCACACTACAATTATAAAATCATCGAGTGAAACAATGGAGAAGTGTAGACAACAAGATTGATCTTATCTAATAGTACAAAACTATTCGGAAACAGTTGACAGTACGAACTAATGATTGTATTAATTATTGCAATAAATTATTTCTTATCTCATTTATCTATGTGGAAATAAGCTTTTATTCTTCGCAACAGAATATTTTTGTATGTCTAGTACTTATCATTTGACAGCGACGTTTTATCCGCATAATGTGATATAAAATGGCATACTTTTTTTTAATATAAGTGTAGCTTTAGATTATTAAAAATAAATTAAATATTACACATTGACGTTTAACGTTTGTATAATTGTAAAAGATAATACAAAGGTAAAATTAAATTTAAATAAAATTGATCGTGTATATCTGTGCTAGTAATATAAAAAAGAAAGTAATCAATCGCCGATTTTAAAGCCCGCACTGCGACTTGTAGAAGAAAATTTATTTTAATTAAAATTATAAAAAAGAAAAGAAACTTAAAATCTCAAGGCTCTTATGATAAATATCACACAAGAATTGTAAAAAAGAATCTCACCTTTTGATCGCTTCTTTTAAGCCGTGGGACGGATCACCCGATTTTTAAAGAGAACTATGTACAAAATGGAAATTCTAATTGCGCCTAATCGCGTGTGCCACCCGATAGGAACGTGCGAAATTGTAGTTGAATAATTTTGCTCGTTTTCCTAATATAACGCATATATAATCGGCTGATACGATCCCTCCGATCGAAAGCTCGCTCTTCCGCAAGCCTGCTAGTCTCGTTTGAAAAGACTCGCAGCTTTCGATCTTTCCCGATATTCGTAAAATGCGACTTTTACTTTTTGTTCGCTTTCGTTCGCGATTTTCACAGTAAAAGAGAATTCAGAACGACAGATTAATCTGGAGAACGGATTCGAGACTGGTCGTTTTAATTGTCACGTGTGCGCCTTTATACGAACCATCCCATCATCCCCCTACTACGACGTGTGACTGGTTTCAGTATAAACTCACCAAAACAGTAACAATCATCTCGTGATTACACCGCATCGACGATAAATCACATAATTGATCTTAAACATGATTCATGGCAGTGATCTTGCGAAGTCTTGCAATTCTGCACATTTGCAAATCTTGCATATTTTCTATTTACTTACATTCTGGCAGTTTAGCAATAACATTTATTATCTGATATAATAAAAAGACTTAAAAATGCAACACGTAATCCAAGAATTTAATTCTTATGAATATAGTGGAACAAAATTGCTGATAAAAAGTAATAGAACTTTTACTTTCTACGTTTAATATATTCTATTTCTTTTAAAACAAATAAATTATAAACAGTTATTAAATTAATTAAATATAGAATAAATATGTAAAAGAGTTTAAACGGATATTTATATTTAATTATTAAGTTGCGATAATAAGCTACATTAAAACTACAAATGGCAGAATCATTTTCGTTATAGATACATTTCTCAATATTTTTATAATATGTTGTTAGAATGGATAAAAAATTATGAATTAGAGATTTATTAGGAATTGCACAATGATTATGCAAAACCATATAGCGTAACTATGCAAAGTAGCGGATACTGGCCAAAAATATTTGCTTAAATAACATATGTAAGCAGTCTTTTATTCACCAAATATCCGATTGTATAAGTCTGTCCTGTGTGATTTATTCTGCGTGACGGAAGTATCATAAAAAGTATAGAAAAAAAGACGTGTCCTTGTTACGATACACATTCTATAGATATTAGAGTCTGGTCTATTCAAAACTGTTAAATGTATAAATTTTTAAATATATGTGAAAAACTTTCCTTTTTTCTTTTTCTCATTTTTTATTTATAATTTTTCTCTGGTTTCTTAAAAAGTGTTAACGCGTCGCTTTCATACTGTTACTTTATTGAAAAACTTGTGGATTCTTCCTGCTTGCTTTATGCGCGACATTGTGTACTATTTTTGAATAACGTGCGAATATTCGCACGTTAATCACAGCCGAATATTCGCCTAATAACTGATACACAATGTACACTGGAGCGGGAAGCCAATGGCACATGTCCAATGTAACTCGCAGTACGTGTGAAAACGACATCAAGAAAATCCAGCCAAGTCCACATTTAACCGGTTATAGTTTATAGAATGGTAAGCAAAGCAGGTAGATAGGAATTTCTAACAAATGTAAAATTATGCATCGACGCACGTTTCAATCGAAATTAAAATCATGTAATGCGTGCGATTGGTTAAAAAATTATAATCTCATATTTTTATGACGACAATAAACACCGTCTTTCGGACGCAATGTCACATTAATATAAATATTATCTTCGTATTGTATTATAAAAAATTAAGCATTCCTAAAGTTGTTTGTGCATTTCTTTTCATAAAACATATTTTATCTAAAAAATTAAATTGTAACTTTTTCTGTCGTTTATAATCTAAAAATTGTTTTTATATGAAAAGCATTATTAATTGCTTATTCCCTGGCACCTGTAAATCACAAGAAGATCGCACAGCTTCTAAGATATTCTGCGGTCAGCTCTAACCAGATAATACCGAATAACCAGATAATACCGAATAAAATCGAAGGGCAATAAATAATTTATATTCGATGCACTTCGTTGCGCGCAAATAATTGCGTCACGATTCTGCGGATGTGAATAATATCCTTCAAATGATAATAATATCCTTCAAATGTGAATAATATCCTTCAAACTACAATGCTAATTTGATATTTTACATTATTATGAAATAAGATTTAATGTTCGGCTATTTTTTAGCAGTTGAACTTGTCAGAAATTTGCAAATCAAAATTTACAAATAGCTTTAAATCTTTTATAAAAGATATCAACACACATTGAAAGATTTTTATTAAAATTTGAACAATAAAATAGGGTAACATTTATGCTACTTTTAATGACTACTGCTTACCTCGTGAAATGTCTGTCACAGAGAATCGTGCAGATGCGTTAGAGAAGCGTAAATTCATTCACAAAACAAACAATGAATTATTAAACAGAGACGAAACTGTCGTAACGGAATTGTTGTATAACAGATCGTATAACCGAATCACTTGTGCATTTCTTTTTGAATCTAAAATTGATCAAGAAGCACGTAGAAGCAATTGTCATATCGAAGACAAACAAATGATGCATTACTTGTAGATATGCGCACACACAATTAGTCACATAATAACGAAAAAGGATATATTCTTACGAAATTAAAAGTCACTATATGTACAAAGACGCACTGAGACTGTTGACATTGGTGTGTCGAAAGTCAGTTGACATCCAGGAAGACAGTTTAAACATTGTCAAAAATATTATAGTGAAAGTGTAGAAATAAAGAGAGCGACAAAATTATTAATTGTAAGATAAAGTTAATTAATTAATTAAACACATAGATTAAGAGAAGATAAAATTCTGTTTAACGATATATTTATATGACTTTATTTTACATAATTAATGTAATTATTATACTAAAATGTTATAATTTATAAAAAAGTATAAGTTGCACGTGTAATTTATATTTTTGATTATAATAAATTATAAATTTGACAATAAATATATCGATTTTTATATTACTTTCTGTTTTATAAACATTAAATTTGTTTATAAAATACATTTATTATAAAGCTAAACTGCCCTTTTCTAAATCTATGTAATCGGTTGATTCTAAGTAATCTTCTTATAAATAATCTAATAAAAAAATTGTAAAGCGCCGAATTAAACGCACGCATGAGAGAGATGATTGTCACGCAAAGAAAGGTCATCGAGACATTTCACACTTCTGACGAAGACGAAGAACGTCGGCACATCGGCCGTGCAATTCCAGCTGATGACTTAATTGTTCATTAATAAACGCCACCCGGACCAGGAAGAAAACCTAGACATCGGGCGTTGTTTTATGTCCCCGACGCTGTTGAGTGGAAAAATAATTAAAAAGGACCTACGGAGCTCTGATCGGCGGTCCGGCGGACGCGCATAAATTGAAACTGGTTTCAACTGACCGATGTTGGTTCAATCTGGCATGTCAATCCGAATGAACCAGAAGCTTTCCGCGACCACCTTGGTTTCTTCCTCTCCATTCGTATTGCGTGTGTCCCATTTTTTTTATAAAGTCAAGTTTTTTCTTCCTACTTTATGTTGACAAGAATTCAAAGAAATCAATAGTTGCGTATCATAAATTTAAAGACCGCATATTCAAAAGCCAAGTGAGAGAAAAGAGAGATTATATGTCCTAGAATTGTTTAAATATTATTCGTGAATTTTATATTCTAAATCACTACTGCTAAATATTTTGAGATAGTGAAAGATAGGAAAGTATCAAAAATAAATTTACAAATCTTTGAAATAGTTTGCAGTTTCTAATCGTTGTGTATTAGCTATTTAATCAGTATTGCTAAACATACTTGCATGATTTTACGTTTTCTAATAATTACATATTGTGCTAAATGTTACCGCAAACTGATAATTTGCCTTTTAGCTGATTCAATATATCAGTCTTTCAGAAGCAAAATTGATCAACTTTATTTTTTGTAAACTTTTTTATTTTAGTAGTACTGAAACACTTGATTAGTATAGATGTTAATCAATTTTCTTTGTTTTTTATTTCATGAAGCTAATCAGTTTATTTTATTTCATGACGCATGCAATTGGAACTGTAAAAGAGTAAATATGCGCGATACTTTTAATAAAAACTATTTATTAGATAAGTACTGCACTCTTGATAGATAAATATATTGGCTGCCAATATATGTAATTGGCTGCCAAAGTATTGTCACACAGTATTATCACTATATATTTTTATAAATTGTTTAACATTAAGTATCAACAAACTTATATATATATATATATATATATATATAAACACTAATAAATTAGTCAATCGTAACTCTATATAAAGCAAAATTTAAAACATTTGTTTTATGAAGTGTTTTTCAAGTTTGTTAGTAAGATTTTCACAAAGAATAATAGTGATATTGTTTCGGGTTCTCCACAAAATCATAATAAATTTTACTTTAATAAATACAGATGACAAGAAAATAATAAAACCGTTCTATTTTATAGAAGCAGACAATAGGGATCAAAAGCGAGATTGTCGAAGCATAAAAATTATTAACTATTATAAATTAATACGCAAACATTTTGACCATTTCGAACTTTTTGCGCTTTGAATAATTTTTGCGCTCCAACAATCATGCTTCTGTGGTTTTTATCATTATCTACATTATTATAGCAATAAATTAATTGCTATTGCTAATTTTGTTAAATTTCGTTTTGTAAACAAAAATTTTTAGTTGCATATATATAAATGCATAACACTTCAATCTTTTTTTTGTATAACTATATAGTCTAACTATATTTGTATAACTATATAGTCACTAATCGATGTTACATGCGCAATACTTTAAAATTTAATATCTTATATCACTAGAAATTGTCAACATTTTCTTAGAGGTAGATTCATTTCAAGTACATCTACGAGCATTATACATGTAAAAGGAACAAAATTACGTATACATCCATATAAATATGTTTGCTACAAAATTATTTGCGCAAAACACGCAAGCTCTTTAAAACATTATCTGCTTTGTCAGCACGAAAATTCTTATTGTTAGATTGGCAGTGCAACCGCAGCATGGAAGACATTTGTTGCAATTTAATTTGTGTAGTACGAAACTATGTATGTATAATATTGGACGAATTATACGATATGCGATTATGAAGGAATTATTTTTACAAATATAATAAATTGTTCATACTCACTTAAAAATAAAATACTTGGTAACTAAAATTCCCTAAAAACCATTTTCCGAAAAACTGCTATAATATTATTTTGATTTTAGAATTTAGTGAAATACTTTCTTCCCCTGCGATTTGCTCCCAAATTTTTTTTTTCCTAAATTATAAGTACGGAATGTCTATAACACCTATTGATATAATCTAGATTAATCAATGATTAAAGTTTTGTACCAATTTCATCACTGCTATTTTCGCGAATCTCACATATATTGCTAAAAGGATACTTTCTCCTTAACTCATTGACATCGGCACGTCGCCTATACCGGATACGTCGCGCGATCAGGGGGAAGAATAAATTAAGGTCTAACTCCTTGCTTTGACCTTTGATCAGCAAACGAGACAGACTGCTAATGAACAGGCCAAGTATAAACGTTATTAAAAATCCAAGGGGACAATACCACATGTATGAAATGCGATACAAATAAAAGTACGAATCGTCGCCGGTGCTTCTAGAAAAAAAAAAAAAAATACAGTCTATCTAGATGACGATATCTTGCGCATCAATTATTTAGCATACAAATTACTCACTTGGCGATATTTGTGACATTTTGTAAAACGGATATCGTCGCATTTGCGAGATTACTCATATCACAGCCTTCTACAGTCCTCGGTAAAACGGGTGGCATCGGACGCGGTTGGCCGAAAGCGATCCAGAATAAAAATGCGAGCGCTGTAAGAGCGCCGGTTATCGCACCACCCTCCGTCGCTAATTCCGTGCCCATGCCAAGTGTGAAAATGCCTAATAAGGGACCGCCAACTACCCCAAAAATAGTCAAGCCAGCCTGTGAAAAAAAAATTTTTGTTATTGACACACAATTTTAATACACTTGTAAGATATTTATCTAGAAAACTTATTAAATAAGATATTACATTTATAAATAATAATTTATTAATTAAACCAATTACTTAGATTAATTCTCATCAACGATTTTGTGATCTTTTCTAAACTTACTTGAAGTATTCCGCCCAATAATTGCGCTAAAAAGGCCAGCGCAATGGAAATAAGTCCGAACATAAAAGCAAGCACTTTTGCGACAGTAGCTGACTTTTCGGGATGGAATTCATGTCCAGTACATTTCTTATATATAGGTTTTAAATAATCTTCCAACGTTACTGCTGCCAGAGAATTTAGAGCCGCTGAAATCGTGCTGAGGCTTGCGCTAAAAATACCTGGAATTTATATAGAGACATCACGATAAATTCTGTATATATTTAACCATTATTTTAAATATATCATTGAAATATTAGTTAAAAATCTTACCTGCAATAAAGAGACCCGGCAAACCAGGCATCTTTGACATTGTATCCATGACATATAAAGGCATAAGCATATCAGGTGAACTAATTCTTTTCTGGAGTAATGGATCGCAATTGTGATATTTACTGTATATTGCTAAGCCCGAAAAGCAAGTTGTAACGGAGAGGAGTGTCAAAATAGGCCAACATAGCCACAAAGCTGTTTGCGAAGCGCGTATATTTCTAAAACAAAATTTGTTTAATGTAATGTGAATGTTTTAAACATAGATTATTTAGGGAAACATTCTGTTGAAAAAAAGATAAGTAAACGTCATTAGAAAAATTATATTATCATTTCACCTACTTTACAGTTAATGATCGTTGAATTTGTACTTGGTTCACTCCATAAAGTGATAAGAATGTACACAAACCACCAATGATAAGAGACCACCAAGTATGTCTTACTGTTGGATCCGCAGAAATGCTGTGATAAAACGATTATTAGATAAAAAAGATATTATTTGTCACGTGCATAATTCGTAAAGTGCATACAATTGGTAAAAAGGCTAAATACAATACCTATCGAACTCAATTCGTTGCCCTTGCTTTGCGATCTCCCAAATTTGTCCTAATCCTCCCACATCGCTCGCAGCTATGCCAATAATGACAAATATGGCAGTAAACATAAGAAGAGCTTGAAACACATCAGTTATCAGCACGGCTTTAATGCCGCCTATGCTCGAATAAAAGGCGCAGACGAGACCGATAATAATAATACTGGCAGTCTTAGAAATTCCTGTAGTCGCTTCCAAAGCTAAAGAAGGAGCGTAAAGTACCACTCCTGAGTACAAAAGCAGTTGAACCCAGTAAACAAAACTAGCCACCATCCTAGCTCTCACTCCAAAACGCTTTTCTAGATACTAAAATGAGCAATGTTTTCAAATATGTGCATTAATAATAATTTTTGCAATTGTAACGGCATTTATTTAATTTCACATTGACAAACCTCGTAAGCACTAGTGGCCTGTAATTTGAAAAATACTGGTAGAAATCCGTAGCACACAATTGGAGTACCCAACAGATATGATATATTTATTACGACAAATTGCGTCCCGAATGTGTAATTCTCAGCTGATACACCAAGCAGCGTAATGGCAGACATGAAAGACACAACCAAAGCAATAGCCACTGGTATAATGCTCATTGATCGACTTGCAACAAAATATTCCTGTAAAACGTACTCTCTATAGCAATATATAAACGTACAGTATTGCTGTACAGTCAAATGTTAAGTAATTTTATGAAACTTTCTTTAAAAAGAATTTAAAAAGAATAAAAAATTGCACACCTCCATAGTTTTTTGACGACCACCACTGAATCTGTAATAAATACCGATTCCAATGCTTATGCATAACATAATTGCTATAACTAGATAGTCGGCCCATCCTAAGGTATTTATTTCCGCCATTGGTAATCTAAAATTAAAATTATAATTAGAAATGCTTGATTTAAAAAAAAAAACAGCGAAATATTTAAAAATTTTAAAATAAATATAAATTATTACATTTACGAATCAAAATAAAAAAGAACATGATAATATTTAAGGAATTCTTTACAGTTAAAATAAAAAAGAAGAACATGATAACATTTAAGGAATTCTTTACAGCTTCGTGAAACGTCAATTTAATAATTATAATCAAGACTTTTTTAAATATTTAAACTTGGAATAATCTCGTGATAGTATTTATCAGCTGGTAAGATAAAGCATATTAGTAATACGCCGGTATTACCGGCAAGTTATTACATGTTATCTTTAATGCTTAATCATTAATTCTCCTGTGTTAATTCACTCACGTCACTTATATTTTTCTATAAATAAACTACTAATGATTTCACAATTAACTCGCATACTTTCCCGAAAAGCGCCTTCGCACTTATTATACTCACAAATCGAAAGCAATTTATAATCACTTGTGGAGTTGCTGACGTAATCAGATCGCTTTATTTTCAAATACAACTGATAACATAAAATACTGATAACATCAAAGCGTAAATATTTCGCACGCACAACGATGACCGCACTGTGCGTCTATTAACTTCCGCTGCTTGATCGCGTTAAAAAGCACCATTAGTGTTCGATTGTATTGAAAAGCGTGTGTTAATGTGTTCCACGTGTAATGTCGCGACGCCATGCCTTTCTACAAAAATGTATACACTAAACATAAAATTAAATCATTATGTAAATTTAACACCGACACACTTACAATTCGACAGAAATTACGGACGTACACACGGATGTCCTGCTGCTATCACTGTCACGGAGCGAATGACGTGGAAAATAGATTTCTCTATTGTACTAACGCAATCCTCCTCGCGCACGCTCCACGTGATGGTTCGATTGAATTCTTCACAAACCTGAAATTCTTCCCTCAAGCCTTAGGTCGAGGTTCAAGCCAGGAGCGGATTTAGCAGTTATAAACCCCATTTGAACCAGAGAAATTGTAGAAAAGCGTAAAACTTTATTCTTTGTTATTAAGATTTAAAAAATAATTGCGTAATTTTAATATAATTAAAATCGCTCTTTTTTGCTGAAAATTATAGTACGTGTTACTTAAATATTCGTAGATTTATTTCAATAAAAATCGAAAAATTGATAGCAATGTTTATTAAACTAATAAATATATTAGAAGCAAATTTAGCAAGTACAATAAAAAAATCTGCGAGATATACTGATATCTTTAATGACATAATTTCAGCAAAAATATAGTACATTTCTCAGTTAGTTCGTCATTTCAAAGACCAGGAATTTAATATTGCTAAACGAATTCCATTCCGTAGGAGTGTCACATATTTTTGGCGAAGTATGGCATTTAATAATCGCATCCATAAGAATTGCGGATGAGAATTTAATAAACAAGTCTTCATATAATAATAAATTGTTATAAATCAAATTAAAAAGAATAAATAAGTGAATTTTATAATAAATAACTAAAAAATTGGACAAGGTTTCACAAAAAAATTACCTATTTAAAGTAAGAGAAAAATAAAATATTATTTTTTATTTATAAAAACAAATGTGTGGCATTTAATGATCACAATCGAATTTTACATCGAATTTCCCGCTATTTGATAGTGCTGACATCTGGCATAATATTACATAACGTAATTTTATTTATTTTACTTGTAATTCTTGTACTTCAGATGAAATAAACACATATTCAGTCGTCGGAATGAAAAAAGCAAAGAAAATAAGTGATAAAAGTGCATTTGAAACAAATAAAGTTCTTGATTTGATATAAAAAATACCTACCGTAGGGATCTAGAGAGAACCTCGAGGAAAGGGAAATTTCGTCGGAGGCAGCACTGCAGTATGTGTGCGACTGTGTGCAATTTTAGAGTTTAGAAAAGTCTCAATTGGTCTTAATGTTCCGAGCTCCTGTAAAAAACGCTACTGATAGATTACCGCTAATGCTGCTGGCGGAATCGGCCGATGAAAAAATCTTCTGGTTGTTCGTAGTTAATTGAGTTTTCCAGCATTTCGTCGGGAATCTGAGGCACTAGTGGGACGTCAGTCGCCAGACGACCACCGTGTATATCGGATTTCCCTGACGGTAAGTGGACCCATCGTTTTTGCTAACAATCAGTTGTATCAAATTTCACTTATTACAATTCCACATACGAAAACACAAACAATTTGTTTTTCTTACTTTTATTGCGAATATCGAATTATTTGACGGTTTGATGTTAATAGCGCAAATACACTTTTATTCCACTGTGAAGACTAGCAGTAGCATTGACATGATACTAAAGGTCGGATACATTAATATGACGCGTGATGGATGGACACACGAGTTATTTTCACTCTGTGATGCGCGATTTTGTTTGATGAAAATTTCTCACGTTGTTTGTGTAGGGACATACTTATTTGTTCACATAATGAACCGTGATAAATATTAATGGAATGTTTTAAGATAGCATATTATTATTTATTTAAAAAATACACTTTGTTAATGTGTAATGTACAGAAATATGTTTTTTTGTATTCTTTTGTTTCATTCTGAATAAAAAATCTATCTGCAAAATAAAAAGACGGAGTGAGAAAAAATTGCTGCAATTTTATTTTTCAAGATTAAATGCATTTGTAATTAGTAATCTATAAAACAATTAAACTCAATTTTTACTTCAAAATTAAATAAAAACTGACAAGATCTCTATTTATATTTCTGTAGAAAATTAAAAAAATTTATTTGCTCCGTAATTTTTGTTGTAAAACATTTTTATTTTAAAAATTATGTTAATTTAAAGCTACTCCAGTCAATTTAAACTACTTTATGATTGCCTTTAAAACTCTCAATAATAATTTTTTTTTAACACTCCATTTAATCAGTGAATTAAATTAATACTTATCAGTCTCTTATTTTCATCTGCACTTCAAAAAACAGCTGAAACAGATAAGATAATGATTTGATAATAATTCCGATAAGTTCTAAAGTTTCTGTTTTATACTTTATAGAAATATATTTTTTAAACAATAGCTAAAAACACATACAGAAAAAATAAACAAATATTAAAATAGAGAATCTCTTTAAATTGCGATTCCAACAAGATGACATTCACTATTGAAAAAAAATTAAAATTTACCATCGCATATATATTGACCCCAGATTGCATCGATAGACGTCACACAACAGATTGCAGCAGTAGATAGAGTAAAATCAATTTGCATGGTTTGGTCGGGAGATTGGCGATTTGTCCGTTTGCGTTTATGTACGAGTGTGTATTCAAATAGTGTCTTCGATAAGATGATAGCATTCTGTTCAACGGACGTCACATTGATTACGCTATTATAGGATGTCAATGCCCGTTGTAACATAACTGAACTTGTGGTTCGCACAATTGAATCAGTTGCCATCGCGGCCTTAAAGAGAACAGCTTTTCAAGGTGATGCAAACAAAATGCATAATTGAATGGATGATTAGATTTCCGGAAAAGGCATGATATGCTAAAATGCTGCAAAAAATTCAGACAAGTTTTCATTCTTCATAATCAATTATGCAATCATTAAATAACGTTATATATTATTTAAAAAATTATAAAATATTTGTGGACTTTTTATAACAAAGAATTACAGATATAAAAACATGTGTATTACATAACTTTATCGTTAAAAATTGATGACATAACAGTATTGATATATTTCGGTATTATTTATTCCTATTAAAACGCAGTTTGGCTGACAGGCTCGCTATAAACCGCGTGCATAAAATGTTTTAATACTGAGTGGCCTTAGGCTTTTTGGCACAATATTTTTACTACCGTTTAACGTGTTCTATCAGCATTACGGTTAGCATTTGTTACTCAACTGATATTGGCAAACCATTCTCAATTGTGTCGCAACCGCAGATGTTTCCCAGATATTTCAGTTAACCACAGATATTAAGAAAATATTTCGGGATATTCGATGATGAGTTAACAGACTTTCTGCATATGTTAATGCAGAACTAAAATGATCACTATTGTATTTGTTTAACAGGTGCAGGATCCAAATTCACATTAATCATGGCACAGGACAATTCAACTTCAAAACCTGCAACTCAATTCAAGTATGTATTTTTCCATAAAATCTTCTATGAGAATAAAATTATTTTGTAAAATAATTAAGATAAAATTAAATAAATTTATCTTACAAAAGTAGTAAAAATAAAATATTTTTTAATTGTAAAAGAAAATTTTACATAAACTTTTCATTTTTCAGACTTGTACCAAAAATCATAAATGGTGGCATTGCTGGAATCATTGGAGTGTCCGTGGTGTTCCCGCTGGATTTAGTTAAAACGAGATTACAGAATCAAATTATCGGTCCAAATGGCGAACGAATGTATAAATCAATGCAAGTATCTTTATTGCACTTTTTTTATCTTTTTGATCGCAGAAAGGGTACAAAAAAATGTGCAAAAAATAACACTGATAAAGAGATTTATCATAATCGAGTGATAATTTACCACAATTAATAATTATATTTATTATAATAAATGATTGTTTGCAGGTTTGACTGTTTTAAAAAGACTTACAAAGCGGAGGGGTACTTCGGGATGTATAAAGGAAGCGCTGTAAATATATTATTAATTACTCCTGAGAAAGCCATCAAACTTACTGCCAATGATACATTTAGATATTACCTTTCTCCTGGGCCCGGGTATGTTACACAATATTTTTGGTTTTATAATTTTTCTTATTCTTTTTATTAATTCCTTCCTTTAATGATTATAAGATAATTTTTATTAACAACTTGTTATTTTAGAATTAATTTTTATGTTTTTAACACACTCTGCAATAATTACCAATAATATTTGTTCATTTTTTCTTACCAATTTGTTATTAATCACATATTTATTATTCTTTCTGTCATAATCTTATACTATAAACCCGTAATTTTCCATAACAATTGTTTTTCCAATGCACTTAATATTTCTATGTTTTAAAGGGGGTTATTCAAAGTCTATGGCAAGTAGATTTAGCATGATATATGTTTAGATGATAATCTTTCCATTAAACGTATTGACAATTATAAAATTTATAAGATGGGATTTCCAATTAACTATTTATGAAATTAATAATTTTACAAACATATATATATAATGCATTTATTTTATGCTATAATTGGACATATTTCTCGAGTTATCGTGTTAAATTAACGGAATAGCAAGTTTCGTTTAATTTTGACATTAAAACTTTATAATCACTATTTATTAAATATGCACGCAAAATGCACGCTACTATTTCTAATTAAAATGGACGATGTAGCATGTATATCTATAAAATTGGAGCAAGTATAAATTACGTATATAGCAATCGTAGCGAGAAGCTACGGAGTATTGATCAAACCAAACTGTGCGAATAGAACGCAGTAACATAGAAACAAAAATGATTGGACTAAATGTGAAATATTTTTTTTATTTTTAGTGTAACAATTTTTCTTAAAAAATGTGTATAATTGGAAAGCCCTAAAAACTAACGTATTGCTATATCATATTTTGATTAGCAGAGCATCATATTTTTTATAGAATATTTTGTAATATATATCTCTCTTTGTTGCTAATAGCTTTTTTATTAATTTATTTTCGTAACTGCTTGTGCAATCCTTTGTTTTCGAAGTAAATCGCACAAAACATATGTTTGTATAGGATTATTACATATCTAATCTGGTGTTTAAAAATCAAATTATTTCTTAGTAAAAATTTTCAAGATCATTATTTACTAAAATGTATTAATTTTGATTTTATTAATTATATATAAATTAATTATATATAAAACAATTTAAATTTTGATACATGTACTACTTAATAATTACGAAAGCCAAAATACGAAGTTAAGTTTGCGCAATCATGCCAGAGTTTGCATCATAAAACATATTGAAATGTATCATTCTATAATTTTAGACAACTGAAGCTACCAGTTTGAATGTAATTTCCAAGTTAAATGACCTGGCAAACGATGTAAGCAACTATAACTAGCTAGCCAAGTCGCAAGCAATTCGACGATAGCGGGGTAATTTTTGCTTTTCCCTTTTCTTCCTTATAACAAATTTCTTTCTTAGGAAACATTTCATTTTTTTCTTATAAACACATAAATTAGAAGATAGATTAGAAGACTTTTTAGTAGTTCCAGAGTGATGATACATTCAAAAGTTATATAGATTTAGCTAGAAAAATTTTAATAAGAACAAGTCAGCCAGCACTTTAATGTACATAATTACTCATTATTATAAACTCATTATAAACTTATCATTACTCATTTAATCATTATTTGTTTTGCTTAAGGATGCTTTTTGATATATAAATATATATATATATATGTTGGCTATTCATAAACAGTTTTTATTAATGCGTACTACATCATGCAGTTAAAATTATAAGTAAATTGCAAATTACAAAATTAACAGTTAGCAATTTGTTTTTATTTATATTCGTTGCTAATGTGTTTTTGATGCTCTGCGATCTATTAGATGTTTGAAAATATTGCTTGTCTCGCGATCATGCCACCAGTTGTTGAATGATCTCCTTAATAGGATTGGCATTTTTTGCTCATTATTTTTTAAAAGATATAAACTGATCAAAAACCGGCTGTTTTATTGATTATATTCGTAATTTGGTGTCTCACATGAGACTGAATTGTACAGTCAATCGCAAACTGAAAATCAGAATTGAGACAATTGATTGTGAAAAGATTCTGAATTTTATTTTTGTAAAATAGAATGCAAACTTTAGCAAAATTAATTTGGTTAAAAACGACGTAGTCGATTGCAAAAAATATTTTTATTTTTTTTATTTTTCGATCAGTCACTCGTGCCAGTCCTGTTGCATAGATTAAAATCCTATTGCGTAGATTAAAACTTTTCTTAATACAACGTGATCGGAGTATTCTATTGATCTGTTGTCCAGACAAAAATTGCCATTAGAACGTGAAATGCTTGCTGGCGGTTTAGCGGGAGCATGCCAAATAATCGTAACCACTCCAATGGAACTACTCAAAATACAAATGCAAGACGCTGGCAGAGTCGCCATGGCAGCTAAAGAAGGTGAAGCAGTACAATATTTCTTAAAGTATTATCGAGAAATATTTATCGCAACTGTATATTCAAGACCTTTCGTTACTGTCATTGTCGTTCGTCGCTCTATTGCGACAGCAATATTCATGCATTCCTTAATTGTATCTTTTGCAACAAGTGAAATGCCATGGTCGACTAAAAATCTGAATATGATATCGGAAAACGCAAAGAGAGCGTTAAGAAAGCAATAAAACCAAATTAAATGTTATATAGCAAATGTAATTTTTTAATCTCTATATGCGAAAGTGACAGCAATGATAAATGAGTTGCATAATACGTTATTGTTGCAGCGGGTAAAACAGTGCCTAAGGTATCCGCTTGGTCGCTAACGGTGGATCTACTTAGGAAGCGAGGTATACTAGGGTTGTATCAAGGAACCGGTGCCACAGCGTTGAGAGACGTGACGTTTTCCGTTATTTATTTCCCTCTATTCGCCAGACTGAATGACATGGGCCCGAAACGAGAAGACGGTTCATGTACGCTCTATTAATTGTGTTATCGGATGTGACGTCTAAGCAAATAAGTCAAACAATAACGTTAATGTTATGTTTCTTAGCTGTGTTCTGGTGTTCATTCCTTGCCGGGTGCGCCGCCGGTTCGACGGCCGCATTAATGGTGAATCCATTCGACGTAATCAAAACTAGACTGCAAGTTATCAAAAAAGCACCTGGTGAACCTACGTACAACGGAGTATTAGACTGTATAACGTAAGTTTGGGAATCAATTGCTTATTCGGCTGTCTCTAGGCTAAACCGCGTCTTATTTTATTCTTTTTGCGAATAATCAAGCACGTCTATGCTACATTTTGCTTTCGTCGGCAGTTATAATATATAATAAAAATTTTTTTTGAATATATACGAAATACAGGGCGCCATAAAATCTCGCGACTTTTTCTATTCTTTTTGCATTCCAATGATCACTTAAAAAAATGCAATTATTTTAAATTATTTTATAAATACCTATAAAATCGGTAATTTAGGTCATAAATAAATCAATGTTTGATAAAAATCGTTCTCGATTTATAGGAAGACATTTAAGAACGAAGGCCCAACGGCGTTCTTCAAAGGCGGCGCTTGCCGAATGATTGTCATAGCGCCGCTGTTTGGAATTGCACAAACCGTCTATTATCTTGGCGTAGCCGAGTGGCTACTGGGATTGAAGTAAAATCGCCATATCGTGCCGTTCAAACGCTCTGGGAAATCGACAATAATAATCGTTGTAAACGTAGTTATATTTTAGCTTGAGATTTCCGTCGCGATAAAAGTGTTGTTGTTCAAACGGAATCTCTCGATCGCTTACATGTAAAAGAATGTTAAAGAGAATATGTCAATTGTAATTCTCGCAGGTCGCGAATTATGATAAGTTCATAGTTAAATGAGATGTATCTCTATCTCTCATATTCATATCCGCAAAACTCATCAAATTATCAAACACGATGGGGTTTACCGTACGTTCGTTTTATACATTACGTTCCTACAGAATTCTTTCAATAGATTTGTCGAAAATCGAATCGTGAAGTATATTTGGCATTATGAAATTTTACATTATAACCACATGTTATTCGATGTTCGTCATCGCATTTTCCAATATAATAATGGCTTCCTATCTTCTTCGTGTTTTATGGGCTCTATATAGATATTATACGCGAGATCCTACTCACGAATTATGCTTGACCTATACGTATACTGGGATCTTCGTTATATCTACCAACCTAGCCAGTCAATTATAAATATCGAAGACTTCTCAAAGATTTACGTAAGCTGATATTTTTTTAAATACTTTGTTTTAGGATAAAAGAATAATAGGATATTTTGTTAAAGCTTGTATTCGTTACCTAAGTTTTTGTTAATTTCTATCTTGTCATGTCGAGAAAACGATGTAATCTTTATGGCCATATATGTAATATAATAGCAATATTACAGAATCTTTAAAGCAAATGTAACTGTACTCTTGTCGTCTATTTCTTTTATCCCTTCATTTACTCGCTTTTTGCTATTTAATATTTTAAATTTATATAAAAATATATTCAATTACGAACTGTAATTGTAATCTCTTCAAAAACCGTTATACTATGATTAAAGAAGAGAATATTTAATAATGCAAATCAAAGCAAATCATTAAAGCACATTAGTTATGTGAAAACAATTAATCGTTGATTAATAAAATTAAATTCTTGATTTTCTCTATCCGCAAAAGCCTATTCTAAAAGTTAAAAAATAATAAAGAAATTGTGCATCTTTAGAATTATATAAAAAAAGATACAAAGTAAAAGATAAAAAGAAATATCAATAATTAAATGTTGAATAATGAATGTTTCATATTAAACATTCATTATTTAATTATTATACGTAGGAATTAAACATACATTATCTTTTCTCAATCATGTTATATGTATATTTCCAGTCATTCGTTTATAAAAAAATTTGTTTCTCTTAAATTATCAGCGCGCATATTTTTAACTTTACATAACAGATATAGTCTTGCTACGGTAGCGCGAGATGAATCGTTTTTTATAAATTTAATACTATAAGCGTTAATAATAATCGAATTTTATTACTAATTACGCTCGCTACTTAGTGTCCCGTTTATTTCATTTAATATTCCGAGTTGCAATTATCTTCGTACTTCATTAACAATAATATAATTTGTTTACGCTTTAACTTCTATGGATACATAATGGCGGAGACTATTTGTATCTAAAATGCTACAATTATGAATATAAGCTTTTTATGAAATTTTGACTTAATCCCGACGATATCCAAGCTTTAGAAAGATTTGGTTTACTACTAATAATAACACGCAATCTATAGATAATAAATAATCATGAGCATGCCCCCTTGTCACAGAATAAAAAAAAATTATTTTTCTCAACAAGATTTCTCTCATGAAAGCAGGCACATTCATGCAAATAACAAGAGAGTGTCATTATAATTGTTATCACATATGTCAATAATACGTCAATAATACATATGCGCGCGCGCGCATTATCATACAAATCAAGAAAGTCTTTTCTACATTTGTCTGGTTAAAAAATAAACGGTAAGTATCATAATACCGTATTAAGTACTCGGAATGATGTAACGTGTTTCTCAATATTAGAAATAAAATCAGTGAATCGTTTGCCAGTTAATTTGTCGCATTAGCTTCTAGAAATAGAAAAATATGACTATAATATGCTTATACAGATTTGATCTCGTAAAGGTTGAGTATTATCACGTTACATTGCACTTACAACTTATTTTTTAAAAGATTCTTTTCATCTATTCTTATCAAATACACATATGATTTACACTATCATTCAAAAGTTTAAAACATTTTACCTTTCTAGTCTTTTGTTTTATAAATAAAATGATATGTGCCAAACATAATATTGCAAGTATAAAATTATAAATATATACTACTTAAATATTATAATATATAATAATTATATAGTATTTAATATACATATATAATAATTATATATAGTATATAATTATAGTAAAAATTATATATAGTATATAATATTAATATAAAAAAGTTTAAATATTTGTTTTATTTTAATTATACAATTATTTCTGATTAAAATAAAACGCAATTTATAATGTTTGGAATATTTATCACATATTTATAATTTAGCAAGCAATCATTATTATTTATATAAATGTAAAGTCGATAAAATAAAATTGTATGTGATTTACTGTTTGTTTTATCTCAAAATTGTAAAATGTTCTTTTGAATGATAGTATATGTGTCAATGATCGTATGTATCGACAGCGATATAAACTTACTTATTACTTTTTCTACAATAAAGTGTTCCAAAATTTCATAATATGCTATGTGTACAAAATATCTAGCTAACAATAAGTACATCGTTGTAGAGTTAAAAAATATCTATTGGCGTCTCTTAGTTTCTTGTATAAATCTCAAGATAAATTCCTTCTATCTTTGCATTTCAAAAGGCACGATACAATGTTATAATCTTAATTGTAATTTTGTTGTTATCTATAGCTATGACATTGCACGATTCATTTCTCTGCACTCCGATGAATTTGTCAATTTATCCTTGTGTGATAAGCCTATTATCACGATGCACGTTAACTGTAACACACAACAATATTCCTATGTGAATTACAATTATTAGATCGTTAAATATTGTAATATCAGAAATATTAAACTAGAAATTTTTTAGAAATATGCAACTTACATCACACTTATTGCAAAGATGATGTAAGACACATGAAAGGTCTTAGTGAAAGTGAAAAGAATATGATTGATAACAATTACTTAACATTGCAAAATCTTATAAAAATTGCACGAAAGATGAGATACTGCAGCTGGAGTGGTCCGAGACACGTCCATTCTTTTGACAACGCCAATAGAATAGAAGAAAGGTCTTGTTTATATCGAGTGGCGATTCACGCGAAAGGTGGGGGTTTATATCGAGCGGCGATTCACGCGAAAGGACAGCGCACGAAAGGTGGGGTACTGTAACTGGAGTGGTCCGAGACGCGGCGTTTTGTTGACACGCCAATAATAAAGTAGGAGAAAGGGCTTTGGTCAGATTAGACGACGATTCACGCGAAAGGATACTGCGCAAAAGTGGGGGATACTGCAACTGGACTGGTCTGAGGCGCGGAGGCGCGTCATTTTCTTGATATAACGCCAATAATGGGACAGAAGGAGGTTCAGATTGTCAATCAAACGACAATCCTTGTGAAAGAAGAGAGGGATTGCAACTTGAGTGGTCCGAGGTGTTTCATTTTCTTTACATCGCCAATAGTCAACTAGAAGGAGGTCCTGCTTTTGTTAGATTAAGAAATGATAGTGAGACGTCTTTAACTTGAGTAATTCGAGAAAGACGCGTTGTTTTCTTAACAACGCCGATAAAGTACAGTCGATGAAAGGTCTTATTAAGACAAAGCGCGATGATTCACGTGAATAATTTTGCATATCTATTGTTGCAATTTGAGTCATTGAATTTTTTATAATCTTTTATATGCCAAAAAATATTAATAACTCACAAGAGAACCTCTTTTTGCTCCTATCGTGTTATAATTTAATTTTCTTAACTTGTTAAAAGATAAATTTAGACATTACTTTATTAAGACTGTCAATTATAGATCAAGCTGTAATGTAACATCTCACCTCATATTATAATGATGAACCGGCTTTCGATAGAGTTCGAAGGCGCTTCCTCTCTGCTCTCGACTGCCAGCCAAGTCCAAGCCACTGGGTTCCCTATTGTGTCCGGACATAGGATTGGCAGAAGGGTAGACAGGTCCATGGTTATTGCCGTGCATGTATCCATTGTGGTTCGTGCTGTTCCGGTTATGCGTCAAACCAAGGCTGATCTGACCAGCACTGTTACTGTGGGAATGCGTGCTAGTGACCGGCGGACTCGAATGAGAGTGCGTGTGGCTGAGACTGTGGCTGTGCGTTGGCGATGCGAAGTGACTTAGATTGTGATGCGAATTCACGAGATTGCTCTCGTTATGACGGCCGGGCGGTGGAATGTTGTAGTAATATTGGCCGCTGTTGCGTTGTACGTTGCTATTACTTTCTACCTGAACAAAGATAAAAATTCGAATAACGTTACATCTGGCGGATGTCGAACTCCAGCGTGCGAATATATTAATTAAATAGATATTGATAAAATGATAAAAACGGTAATATAAGAGAGAAGTCGTGAAAGGATAATAATTTTTTTATCGAATTATTTATGCTTATAAAATAATTACCCCATTATGCACATGCGACGTGGCAATGGAATAACTCTTTGAATGCTGATACGAATTATTCCCATCATTTCCATTGTTCTCCGGCTGTCCAAGCGACGCTTGAGGTGGTCTGTAATTTTTCGGCTTCGGAGGTGGAATTGGTTTGTAGGTGCCTCCCGGTTTATTTTGTGACATTGGTATCGACTTATAATCGGTGGATCGACTAAAAGGAAGTGATAATTTTTACATATTAATTTGCTTGAATGCTAGAAAAAAAATTCGTCGAAAAAGAAAATTTAATATTAATTGCGTCAGTAATAAACCTATCCAACTAGAAAAAAATTATTAAAATATAACGCAAAATACTTATAGAAATAGACAAATAACATAAATTTTCTTTTTTATTCTGGTTGTAAATTATACTTTCAGAGAGCCTCAAATTCATATATGCGGTATTTATGATCACTCGTAATACTTATATTTTTTCTTTTTCGCATAATAATATTAATGTGTTACATTGACCGCACACCTGTATTTGGCGTAATCAGTTCGCGTCGGAGCGTCATGCGTGGAGACAGGCTGAGCTGTAGATCTGGTGAATGTTGATCTATATGGGTCGTGCACTCTCGCCGGCATACTGCTGCTTTTGAGATCATCAGGTACGTTCGGGCCTAGACGACCTGTCGACGTGCTCAAATTTGCTCCATAATTCGCATTTCCATTGGTGTTGTTGTAAGAATCATAGGAAGACATGCTATCGTAGCTTCCCTGCAAATGTGTAAATATATTTCACGACAATTGTCTATAATAAAATGCGCACACATTTGTGCGTTTAATTAAAAATAAATTAAAAATTCATGCACTTCTAAACTTTCTAGACTAAAAATTTATTTCTTTGTTAGAATTCCGTGGTGCGTTTCAAAACGTTAGATTAATTTTTAAGCTTGCCAGAAAGAAGAAATATTCGTTTGATGCTCACCGCTTTCGGCTGTGCTCGCTCGAGAGATGATGTGGCGTTTGCTTTGTGGGGCGTCGCGTTAATATAATTTCCCATGTCCATCGAGTCGGTTTTATTCACTCCCAAACGCTCCTGGGCGGATCGTCCTATCGTTCCCCGCGGCGTTTGATTAGCCGGCTTCGCGTTTCGATCAACTCGTGGCGGAAGATCCGGAGGACTGTGATGAGGGGATCTAGGCTCGAAGGTGCTTCCCAGGTATTCTGGCGAGCCGGACTGATTGCTCATTTGACCGGACAAGGAAAATCCGTACTTGCTGTCTCCCACTCCGCCTTGGGATCTTCTCTTCTGTTGTTCAAATGATTGCTACCGCAAGAAACATATTGAATCATTGTAGACAATAATTATTAAAAACACTTACACAAACAGATAACTAATAAATAATGTTGTATCGCAAAATTAGACTGAGAAAGGGAATTTTTTAATTAGGATTTGTGCGCATCACCTGATAATTCGTCGAGTACGGTGGCGGTGCAGTAGTATCGTCCTGAGTAGCGATGCTAGGATCGGAACTGCTCTTCAGCCGCGACGGTGGACCCAACGTACCGGGAATAACGGGTGCAGGGCTTAGCTCCAGATCGCTCTCCGGAGAGGAAGCGTAGGAGAGGCGAGAAGTCATCGGGAATAGGAAGTCATCCGAGAGGGCTTCTTCCGGCTACGAGCGCAGATCACAGGACATCACATTACGATAAATGGCACATATGTGTATAATAATGAGACGATACAATATGTTTTTATTACTTGTAGTCGTGTGTGCAGTATTGGCGATCAATTATGCGTAATAAGTAAATCATTCTTTGTATGAATGCGTTTCTCTTATATTATATAATTGTATATTGTTTGAAATTATTTATAAAAAAGCATTTTATTATTAATTAATAAATAATCGCTTTTACGAATGTAAAGAAAGCAAAATATAAGTGTAGCAGTATGTGATACATTAGCGTAGTGATGGGATTCAAACTGTCTCAAGATATCTCGAGTTAGAGACTGAAAATCAAGAAGTCTCAATACATTTTGTAAGACTGTTACGAATATCTTGAATGTTATGAATGTGTCTTGAATCTTTTAAATATTTTGGATAACATATATAACACGTGCACATAACTGCGCACACATATGTATATAGAAAATATTTGCTTCTCTTAATATAACTTGATAACTTTATATTTTTTTTCATCTAAATTGTTAATCAATAATTCATAAAATTAAATGTTTTAAATATTAAGATTTAAAGAGATATATCTCATTTTCTAAGTATATGAGATTTTTGATTTTCAGTCATTCTTGGTTAGCTTAAAAATTTGCAAGTAAGAGTTTTGAAATCCCATCACTACATTAGCGTACAAAAACATACAGAAAACATATTGAAAACTGGTATCGTACAGGGACTTTGGGAATTTTTATAGGACGACAGTTTAGAAAAAGGAAAATAAAAATTAGGATAGATAAAATCATGCAAATTAAAGACACAGAGATACTAAGTATGCAGAATTAACTGCTTTAACTGCTTTAGACAAATATATTTGCTTGCTACATGATTGCTATATCGAAATATATTTGCGCAGTCTGTCCTATTTAATTGTTTTACACATAATAAAAGCGAAGAATTCGACAAAGCGTGCGTGATATTCGAAATTTCGCAATTAAAAGATTAAAGCAGGCAAGCAGGGCTTATATATAGCCGAAAAATTGCTCACGGATGACACTTGAGTTCAAAGGTGGTTGGTTGGGAAATGGCAGAAGTTTTCCCATGAGAGATGTCGGTGACATCGGTGATTGATGATGCGACAAGAGCACGTCGTGATTCTTATTCTCGTCGTAATACACGATATTGTTGGAAAGTGGAGGAGGTGGAAGAGCGGGAGGTGGAGTATGAGCGTATGCAGATGGATGCGATAGGTCCCACACCGTGTATTGATTATATATCGGCTACAATAAACGAGTGCCGAAATTATGCCGAGAATTGTCGTACAATATAGCGATATATACGAGCGATAAAGAAAGATCGTGATATTTATAAGAAAGATGAGAACGGCAGATAAAGATAGAAAATAGAAGTCAAAACCATCCCAATAGAATCTATTTTAGCCTCCCACTTTAGACGATCGAACTGATCATCTATAATTTGTAACAGAATTAAAATAATTGGCGAAAATAAAATTGTATTTGTAGCTTTCTGTGTCACGTGTGTAATACAGAAAAAAATTACAGATTTTTTATTTTATTTTAAATAAAATAAAATTCTACCCTTTACTATCTTATTTCGAAAAATTAGATTACACACAAATAAGAAATGTATTTCAGCATTATATATTTTGTATGTGTGGATTTCTATTTGTCAAAATTTTTTATTACACAGAATTTAAATAGATTTCTGTCCAAAATTCTGTCTCTCAAATTACAGATGGTCTAAAGTGGTCTTTGTGTTTAAAACAGAATAAAATAAAATAACACGCGCATTCTGGGACAACCAGTGTGCGAAATCGAATTGTCGTACCTTAGTTTGACTCATCCACAGCGAACCTTGCTGCTGGCGATCAATGAGCTCTCTAAGCTTCCGATACCAAGCCTCCGGTGCGTTGAGAGTAATTACAGCGCTAAACACGTGTCCCCAAATTTTGTCGAGTTTCTGACACTGTTCTAGAAGCTTTTTACTGCTCTTATGCGCCGATCTGCAATCATACATTACAAGTACAATCTAATAGATAACGAAATTGTGATTTTATTTCGTCGTCTTTCTTACTTCGGAATGCCAGCTCTCAGTTCTTTGATAACCTGCTTCGTTTCAGCTTTTAAAAAGATGACAATCGGGTAAAACTGAGCGTAATTTAAGCGGTCTACGGCGTTTGGAGTGATGTCTAACAATGCGTGCTTGCCTCTGTCCATCACCTCTCTGATGGCGCTCAGCCGAATAATGCCCGACGTTTTGGTATTCTTTCCCGTGCCATCCTCCATTTGACTTTCCATTTCTTTAAATCAAATTTTTAGTTCTCAGTAATATTTATTGCAATAATATGAGCTTTCAATGATTAAATAATCCAATAAATAATTTCATCAATCATTTAATGGAAAATTTATGTTCTACTTACGTGGAGAGGTGAACTTGTCGGGAAAATCCTTGAGAAGTTTTTCTCTTGCGAGATCAGCTACGGGCCCGAAGAGAACAACGGGCCTAACGAAACCAGGATGTCTCAAGATCACGCGTTCGTAAGCCGGAAACTTGCTGACACTATCAGAGAACACTACATCGTCCCAATGATCCTGCAAGACATGTGAAAGAAATATAAAAATTTATCGAAAACATTAGTGAACCTAGTAAAAATTATTCATTTAACACTTAAATTATTTTTTCAATAACTTTTCTGTTTTTACAATACATTTCTACATTTTTCGTTTTTTTAACGTTTTATTTTCTTTTTTTACTTGTGATTTTATTTCAATTATTTTATTTATTTTTCTACACTTCTAACTTTTTTCTACGTTTTTTAGTTTCTAAAAGATTATTTGTAAATCTTTCTTTTTAAAAGTTGGAAAAGAAATGAGAAAAGTGAATTGCATTACCCTTCCCAAAGACTTCGAGCGTCTGTGACTGTTTCTTCTTCTTCTGAAAAAGCTACCTCTGCTCTCGCTCGCGCTCATCTCTTTCTTCGTCGCGTTGAATTGCGCGGTTGCAAGTTCCTCTGCCCGAGCCTTGTTAGGTATGGTACCCTTCTGTACTTCTTGATTGTTCCGTCCAATTCGAAACACCAACCAAGATCCTACGACACCGTTGTGAAGAGTATCCACTACGTGGAACACGTCCCCACTGCGGAAACTCATCTCGCCCTTTTGCGGTTGCTCATAGTGAAAATGAGTTCTGCGCATTTCGTAAAGATACATCTAGTCATCAATTGTTTTCACAAATGAAATTAACTTTAAAACGTCGACTGATATTAAGTTTTAATTTTGCAAGATTTGTATATGTAAAATCATAATAGCAAGTTAATATTTTATCTATTGGTCAAGTGATCGAATCATATTTAAACTTTATTTATTATTAATATTTCAAGATTGTAAGAACTAAGTCATAAGCATCACTTACTTTATGTGAAAGGAGTCACCTCTGCCAGATGCAACAATTTGATCGTATTCCTGACGCCGGTGTTGCACGATAAGATCAATCTGTTCTTGCAAGCTGAGAAGAAACAGTACAGCTTCTTCTCTCGTGACTCCCTTCATATCCATGTCGTTTATCTAAAGTAATAATTTTATATACATTTAGATTTGAATATTCATTCATTTTTCATCTCTTCTAAAGTCTATCCCTAGTAAGAGAAAAGATATCAGGACGCCAGTGGCTAAGCCAGATTTGTTTATTTCTTAAAAAGCGACGAGAGTGAATGTTAGAAGCGTGGGGTCTGAATAGTTTAGTGGAAAGAACAGTCGCCCGGAAAATGAAAGACCCGGGTTCACGTCCCGGCTTAGCCACTCGCGTCCTGATATTTTTTCTCTCGTCTTCCTTTTAAATAACTTCCTTACTTTAATTCATACATTCTGATTCTCGAATAATGAGATCGATGTATGCATTTCTCGTACACTTTAGTATTTCGAATCTGAGATCAGTGTACATTTTAATGTCTCAATGCAGACGAATCAAGTTTCTATACAAAATATTAAAAATTTCGCACTAACAACCAGCGATGGCTCCATAAGCCTTTTTCATATTGATATGATTTTATCACACGAGCCTATTCCTCGTACGGAAATTCTCTTATATTGATTTTAAAATAGTAAAATTACTGATTTGTAATTACATCAACTATGAAATATTCATACCTTTAAAATTTTGTCTCCTGGCTGTAGACCTTGAAGCGACGCAGGACATCCCGCTTGAACTGCAGTCACAAAAACTCCGGTTTCATTACCGCCACCCAATCGCACTCCTACAGATCCTTCTTTTTGGAAAGTAATAAATCGAGGATCCGGCCTGGTAATAAAAAAGAACATCAAATAGGACGATATTAGCTAACTGCAAAAAATTGAATAATATCCCATCAACTCACATGGGCTGCTTCGTCCGAGGCGAAACCGAATCTTCATCATACAGTTGCCTGCGCGTACTGTAATAATCTATAAAAGTAAACAGCCCGATAAAGTAAAAACTACAAGATTTTATCAGAAAATATGACATTTATTATTTTACTACTTTTATATCAATTTTCCAAAAGTCTTAAAATTACTAAAAAATTTTGCACAAAATAAAAACTATCATTTCACGCGATTTTCAAGAATTTTTTAAATCTGCAAAAATTTGAAGAAAAAAACGTTCGATAAAATTTTCGATAAAAATGAATCGATTGATCACAAAATCCGCAGCTAAATACGATTTCATTAGTCTTTATTTCTACAGTATACGATAATTAATTGCAAACTGTATTGCGCAACACACACCTTCCGGTCTGGGCGGGGGTGGCCTGGGTGGATCTACGGTGGGTGTAGCTGGTAAATCCAATTGACTCAACGACACATCCATCAGCGGACCCCGCGAACGACCTCTCGGTACGAGATTACTTTTGTCCTCCAAGGGCTGCCTCGTGGGTGGCGGAACGTATAAGTTCTGACTACTGTAGCTCGCACCCGACAGGTATTCACCGCTATCCCCTTTACCCTGCTGCTGTATGTGGCAACATGAATTGTCCCGTGTAATTACGATCGAGAGTCTATCTTTGCACTGGTCCATCAGCTTTCTAGCTTCCTTCAAGCTCATATTGTCGGCGGCGACGCTGCCTATTCGGGTTAACACGTCCCCGCTTTTCACTCCGATATTTTCTCGCGTAACCTCCTTTACGTACAATCGGCATCCCAGCACTATGCCGAAGTCTAGAAATCGAGATTGCATCGTTGTAATCTCGTTTTATTGCAGAGATAAATGAAAGCAAAGAACTTTCACGTAAAATCATTTTACAAAATTATATTCCCTTGAAATATTTCAATAGTGGAAAGTGTACAGCATAAATTAAATATTTCATATACGCATTATCTTTCAAAATTTGTTTTAAACTAAAAGTAAAAAATGAAATAGAAAATCGAGTTAGAAATTAAATTAAAAAATTGAGTTAAATTATACTGAATTAATACTTTTAATTAGATTCTGGACGGAAGTATCGGTAGCTCACATCGTTCGATGTCACTCCGCATTCTCTCGTCATTATGCGATTGTTAGTGGTGTCTAATTACGTACCATCCTTTTTATTGTTTCGCGTGAGTGTAAGTCGATGGCTTTGAGGTGCGATGCTGCCTAAGCAACCGGGCGAATTCGAGGAAGCTCTTCGTTTAACAACCAACAAAACAGTAGAACCGGAATCTCGCAGGACGCGCACGGCAGCACCGTAATCAGCACCTTCCAATGATACTCCATTGGCGGAAATGATACGATCGTTTACTCTAAAAGTAACACAATCAAATCGTTATTTTATCAAATTATATCAAATTAGCATAAGCAATAAAAAAAAAACAAAATCAAAGAGAAATAAAGAAAAATTAATTCCTAATGTGCTCAAAATATCTACCTGTAAATTTCTTGATCTCTTTTAATGTTAATACTTTATAATATTAAAAGCTGAAGAACTATAATAGTATAAGAAGAATATACGTTTTTAGTACATTTGTAAGAAACTAAAGATATAAAATTCTGTAAGAAATTTTTTTAAATATATATATTACGAAAGAGAGATGCTCTTTTACTAAATAAAGATTTATTTTTACTGATAAGCTCTCTCTTACTGTAATTTTCCTTCAGCCGGGCCGGCTTTGAGGACGTCGGAGATGGCGATCGCAGGATCGCCATTAGTGAAATGAGGATTATCACGACCTCCTGATACAGCTATGCCGAAACCGTAACCAGGAACCCTGGTGACCGTAACATGATGGATCTCCCATCCTCTGTCGCCAGTCTGAAATAAATATATAAATAATATATAAATAAATATTTTTATAAAATAAGAAAAACAATCTTGCAGAATTCTACGCGCACAAGAATACAACATTTGACCAGTTAAATGACGACAGTATATATCGCTTAATTAAATCCCATAATAGATTTCCTACGCACGTGGAAGCGAGCACAATGGAGTAATTATACGCATTCCGCGAAGTCTCATGTATTCCTAACTCTGTAGCGTGTTTTCGTCGAAATTATGTGCCGGTTAAATTAACGATAATCATCAAGCGTTCATACCGCCGCGATAATTAGATTTCAGTTCGAGCGAGAACAATGAACCGAGCGTGACCAGTGCGTTTCGCTGTTGAAACCGAACAACTTCCGTAATTCGTCGTGATGAATTTAGCCGAATGGACTTATGAATCACTAAAAACACATGTTACAAAATCGCCATCTACGAGAATCGACGGATAATCCAATAGCCCGCATCAAATGGCAAAGTTATCGCCGCTGTAGACGGCGCGACACGCAGCTATTTCTGATTCCACATTCGTTCAGATACCACATTCCGATGTATGCGCAGAGTGGGCTTTGAATGGATAAGAAACAATAGTGGCGAAGGTGGTAGAGCTCGACAAACACCGTCAGACCGTAGTATACATAACACGTGATATATAACGCATTGGTTATTAACGATATTTAGGTACCATTCGATTTTCCATGGATAAATTCGCATGCACTATAAATCGGACGATAAATAACTCATTTTCTAAAATATTCGATCGCATTGAATTCCAATTCGAAATATTAATGTTTCGCGGACACGCGTGTCGCAACGATATACAGCTGGATAATTCAAAACGTAAAGAAATAGAATCGGAAATCTTGCATTCAAATTTATTTAAATCACTCGAGCGAGACCGCTGGAATATTTACGATTCCCGATGTCGACTCGAAAAATCTGGTATCTCGGGATGCGCTACCTGACCGTCGAATCCGCCAGAAGAATTGTGTATCGTGCCGTGGATCGACAAAGTGGAGTTCGGCGGGGATCCGGAATTTCCCACGTGACAGCCGCTGCCGACGCCGACGCCGCCGGCTCCTCCGCCGCCACTTCCGCTGCCGACCCCAACGATATTGTTATCGCTCCTGTCCATCCTGCCGCGAAGAAGACGTCGGTCTTCCCTCTACCCTCTCGCGCGCGTTCCACCAAGACGATTCTCTCACGGACCGCTCCCTCGCGCACTTCCGCCGCACCGCGATCCAAGAAGCATCCCTTCGCCGGACACTCGCCTCTTCATGAATCACGCAAGATCGCCGGATCAATGTGTCGCAAGCAACTCCGTCGCGGCTCACGCCACAATTGCATCGCGCACAACTCGTGTACGTAAGGCGAGCGCGCGTGATTGCGCCGACCGATGGATCGCGAGTCTTGCGTAAAAACCGTCGTCGTCGTTGTTTTGCAACTGCGCGTCGTTCACAATTTTTTCTAAATGTCGCGTGTTTTTCTTCTTCGAGCACAATATTCCTTCAATTCGCACAAAATCAAGCACTTTTTCCACGCAAATTTGCACTTTAATTTGGACTTCTCGTCTCATAGAATGGCAAATTTGACTAGGTCGGGAATGTTTAGCGTGTTACGAATGATTTCACGAATGTCGATGATCCGTTTCTCTCTTCGCTGTCGCGTAAATTTTCCTCCTTCGTTCGGTTCTCCTCGACTAACTTGACACTCGCTCCAGTTCGCCTTGCTCGGTCACGCAGCCACGCTTTTCGATGCAGTCGCCCCGTCCTCGTTCATGCGCACCTCTTTTTCCCTGCGCGACGGGCTTCGGACGCGATGTAGCGTGAAATGCTCGATTTCGTTCGAAGAGACCACGTTCGGCTCTCCAGACGCTCGATCTCGAATACGTTCTCTTGATAATCTGGAAGTTTACTCCACAAACACTTTTACTTCTTCCAAGATTTATTGCGGCTACAATACTAAATTGGAAACTAAATCTCCTGCTGTGCCTGCTGGTTTTCTTGAATTACTCTTATTACTTTCGAGATTATTTTTTACTATTTCGACTATTTTTGTGCGTAATTTTTCATATATTTTAATTACGTTGCTTTTTGTTCCTTCCACTTTTTCACCCCAGTTCGTCAGTTCTTCGAAATGTAATATTTTTCTTTTTATCTCACAGATTTATTTCAGTTCTGGCTAAAAGTACATTCTACGAATAACAATAAGCATTCCATCAAATAGAATAAGATATTCGTCAAGTTCTACAGTCTCTGGAAGTTTTCAAAAATGTCAAAGATCCTGATGGTTTCCCTTCGATTTGATTCCGATCGATTTTCACTTCTTACGTCGATACGCGCAACTTATGACGAGGAAATGCACATTTCTCCCTGCATCATCAGGAAGCTTTGCGCGCACGGTAATTTCAGTAACGAGGCAACTTTAAGCGCCGTGTATAATTATCACAACGACGGCCCGCGGAACTGCTCACTTCTTCTCCGCTTCTCACGCGGTACAGAAATACACCGCGCCCCGCGCCGACCGGAAGCGCATTTCCAAAAACTCACTGAAGGCCGTCGACACGAAACAGGTTCCCGTCGACCGGCTAGTCGATCGTCCGAAAGCACCTAAACCGGATCGTAATTTAAATGACCATGCGTCGAAACGACCTCGCTCGTTTTTATCTAACTCGTCGTCGATCTACTCGTAGCTCGGCATCACGATTGATATCGGTGACTGATACAATCGCATCCCCCCAATGGAAACGCTCTCCAGCCTTGAGAGCTCACAATTCAAACTCACTCAAACTCGTATAAAGTTGCAACACCGCAGCTCGAGTCCGCTAAAAGTTGTAACTCAATTCACTAGGAGATGCAATTTGAATCCGCGAGCCCGCAGATATAATTCAATTCTTTTAAGATTGCAAATGCAAATTCGCAAAGTTATATGCCGCCAGTTTTGCATTCGGGCAGCGGACCGCACGTTTTCCTCGCGTAAAATCAACTATGCATCACGAACTGCAACGGAGATCACGTCGAGTTGCGCTCGCGCTGTCTGCGATCGGAGTAACGTGTTCAGAGATCCTTCGACAATCCCTTCTCATCTGCATATCGATAGATTGGCGCTGTCTACACCATGGATCGACACGTACGCTTCACTTCCACGTTCGCGAGCGAGCACATCTTGAGTGATTCGCGTCGACCAGGCATCTTGCGCCCGCACGCGCGTGCACACGGCCTTCGCGTGTGTACGCGATCCCGATTCCGATCTCGCAGTCTCCGTAGACCCACTCGAAATTGCGCTTTCCCTTTCAAGTCCCTGGAAACGGGACTTTGGAAACGAATTGCCGATAAACGAAAATGTCCTTTTCCCTAGACGACACAGAATTTCGGTGACGAACGTGAGAGTCGGGTTTCTCTATCGCCAGGTCGACTGGTCGAGGTAGAATCGGCCCGAGGACTGCAGGGACGCAGAAGGACGGAGAGCAGAGGAGAGACGACGGTGTTTAACACACAAGAGCGGTGCGCCAGATAGAGAGAGCGAATGAAGAGAGAAAGAGAAGAGTGGGAAAAGGGGAAGAGTGACGGGGCAGGGGAAGGAGGGTTGAAAGAGAGTGGAGAGAAGGGTAGGGGAGAGGTGGATTGGGTTCGAGAGCATGCCGACACCGGTTTTGCCTGGTCGGTTTGCTTAGTTGGCAAGACTGCGAGTAGAGGTCGGTTCCTCAACATCTTGCCCTTGCTGGTGTTGCGTGTTTGTGGGTGCGTGTGTAGGCGTGCGTGTATACGTGAGCACGCACGCCGAGCCAGGCTACGAGACATTAACTGGAATATGACACACCTTACACCAGCTGGAATTCTGCTGTCGCGACTTAGGTATCCGCTTTCCGTTTCTCTATTCTTTGTCCGCGGGACGAGTGTACTGTGGCCTGATACGAGACGGGAATCATCCGGACAAAATCGCAGTGAGATTTCATGCAACCATGATATGAAACTTGTCTCTTTTTCTCAGCTTTCTTGTATTTTCTGCATTTTAATTAAAACGAGTATACATTTATGCTGCTGAAAACGAGGAAACAACGCAAAATGGAGAAGAGATGCAATTAAAAAGTATAACAGGCTTAATAATTAATCTAAATCCCCGACTGGGTTAATGAGTCAAAAAAGGTGCACTAGTACAAAATTAAATAAATCTACATTTTAATTAAAACTCGTTCTATCATTTATATTTTTCGTATGCATTAATTCATTATCACTTTTTTAATTTAATATCAAAATATTTTTTAAATGTCTTATTTTCAAAAATAGCCAATCTCAAAATTTTTTTATTACAGCAATAAAAGTGCGATAATTAAGAAAATAATTATTATTAATACAATAATAAAATAACAGTCTTTTAAATAATAATACTGCTGAATCTTTGAATTATTTTTATTACATTATATTTTTACAACATTATTTTATAAATTTAATAAAATATCCGAAAGCTACATTCTTTCGAAGATATTTTAATGCTAAATTAGAACAGCCATTATATTTATATTGCACTTTAAACTTTCTACGTTACCTAAATATGCAATTATTTTATTAAATATGGAAAAGCTTGAGAAGGTGCAGCTGAAGAGGGCATACCTTATGATCCATAAACGGAATGAAAGTTGACCTTGAACGATCAGAAAAAAAGTATGATGGAAGAAATGTACTCTGACTCCATGTGGCTGGTCAAAGACCGGTTAATGTATGACGCTAACAGAGATTTATGAGATTATCAATGTATTTTCTTATTGTGAGATTAAAGTTCATCTTAATATTTACTTTCCTATGATATATCACTTACACATAGAAACTGCTATTTGAAACTTGATAATTCGAAATTGTCGGCATTATGAAATATTGATAGATTTTTAAGCGCTAATATGATGCTTGTAATATTTTTGATCGTAAATTAAACTTGTTTAAATAATTATATTTTTGTGTATGTTCTTGGTGCAAAGTTTTACTTTACTATTAATATTACAGTTCGAAATTTATGTGTTCCCTTTGGAATTAGATAACGGATTAAACGACACTTATCTAGAAAGTTGTTCTAATACAGCTCCCGTATGTGCATTTAGCGTGGCGCGATAGGAAATAATTTAGTTGGTGATTCGCAAGTTTCATAAACTTATAATAGCTCTCAGTGAGATCACGTCGCACTGAAACAAATCGCAGCAAAATCATTCCGCTGCGATCGGAGGTAGATTACATCGCGCTTTATACTAATGAGAAAAATTGCACTCGCTTCCCACAGTGCATGCCTCATTATGTATGAATCTGCTTAACCATCGCGCTGAATCTGGACGTGCGGATAACGGATTTGAAAGGGAAAATCCGACGGGGCTACCGTACCACTTTTCGAGCGTGTCGACGAGAATATGAATTGCCGCGTGAAACGAGGAATGCGAACGACGCGTTACTCGCCTATGCAGATTTTCGCGCACGATTTCAGATGTTCCGAAAAAAAGTCTTGATAAAACAATGGAAGCTTTTCTATTATATTTCCACGTAATTTGCTGTTCAAAGAAAAGTATTCAACAAATTAATCAAAAGTTGATATAAAAATAAAGAAAAGGAATTATAGATAAAGATTAAATAAATAATAATATAAAAAACATATTTTTCCAAAATTGCATAAAAAATGATTTCAGATGGTAACGTTAGATAAAATCGCTCTGCAAATAGGCAAGAAAATTCAATTATCCAGCTTGAATTACAGGATTGAATTTTAGACATACGGAAAACCGTTGTGAATAGCCACCTTGCAGCCTCGCCGAGCGCGAGGGAAATGTTTAGGAATGTAAAACGCTTGTGGATATGCGTACACGACCAGCGCATGATTCAAGCATCCAGAAAAATCCTGCCGCGCGTCGTATCGCGCGCAGAAGGAAAACCGGATCCCAGAATCGTTATCGATCGATGCAGAATAATCAGTTGCGCAAAATATATTGATACATCGAAGACGCAATTAACGTTAATAATCTAGCAATTTTATCGACTTTTCATCAGCATCTCTATTACATCAGGTTTCTTTTTCTCATCAATTCTTTTTGGGACGTACTGTACATAATCAAACGCCATTAAGCAATGGAATGCACAAAAAAGTATAAGAATGTGACACGCAATGCACATAGTAGTTTGAAAATCGATGACGATCGAACATTAATCTTTGGTTACATTCCGTCCACGTGAGTGAACGCATGAGCGACGAAACCGTATAAAACGCAAAAAGCAACGAGAGGGACGGCGACAACGGGCACGCTCGATTTACGAAGAAGCAACGTCATTCACGAGCAAGAAAATCTTTCATCAGGCACTGCAGGCAAAATCTCATTGCCAACTTCGGAGCGACCAATCCTGAGGACATTTCCTATGGAATGTGCGCGACCCAGGTAGACCTAGGTACCTGCTGCCGCAGGCAGGTAGCTGCTTCAACTTTAGCAGCCGAACGAAAGATAAAGCGACATGAGGGCGTGGTGCGTATTTGAAGATCTCTCACGATATACCGGGTGTCTTAGTAATTATATTTTAATGTTGAGAAATATAAGTTGCCGATTATACATACGATATACCGAGTGTCTTGTTCTTAGTAATTACATTTTAATGTTGAGAATTTTAAGTTGCTGATTATACATACATTTTCACTTATTAAATATTCAATTCCATATCTTTTAAGCAAGCTATGATCGTGACTTAAAATTTTATATTTAACAATATAAGCGTAAATGATGTATTTTGACATTGTCACATATTTCTTATCTCATTTTTCACATAAAAAATTAAATGTTAAAATTTAGCAAAGTGCTCTTTTTTTCCAGTTAATTTTGGTCTTTTGTTGCTTTCAGGTTTTTATTCTCGACTATTTTAAATCGATGTTTTTCGGAAAGTCAGAACTTCGAAGACACGCTGTATAGCTGTCACGCTGACCTCACCGCATTTTCACTTGTTCGTTCGTTTACCTGTCCGTTTAATGCGATTGTGGCGTGTGCTAGCACTAATACATCGTGTAAGTATTTAGGAGAAAATAGGAGATACATCAATAACCTCTCAATACCTGGGTTTCTTTCTATAATAATTATCATATATTTTTGACTCACAATTTAATTTAGAATTACGTAAGTATCAAGATATACGAATAAATCCAGATGATAACGCTTTACAATAAAATAAACGTAAACAACTCTGTTATCAAAACCGAAAATCATTCCTAACATTAATAAGATTTATTTTCAATTTAAAAATATTAACTATGCATTTTTGGGATAATTTAACGAAGCTTTTAAATTCTAAATCCCTTTTTCTCGGTTTTCTCTCCAGAAATTTTTAATAATAAAAAATAACGGTGTTATTAACAAAGTAAAAGCGCATTAGTTGCTGCAGCGCCGTTGGAAAGTTACGAGATGCAGAATGCATGTTGCGCACCTGTCGAAACCGGATTAGAAACGTTCTGTCTACGACACAGTATCACACTTTCATCTTTTCTTGTTCTTTAATTGTTTGTTTTACGAATATGAATAATTAATGCTGTTCTGTTTGCTTTTACTGGTTTTAGCTATCGAAGCACAGCAATGCTGTAGGTGACATTATTCCAAACATTTTTTAATTTTATGACTTTATCAATTTTCCATTTTGGAATAAGTATTGATACAATATAAAACATATATTTAATTAAAACACAAATGTAATTGATTGCAATAATATTAAAATAAATAAGCGTCTATTTAAACTCGAATGTATTGCCTCGGAAAAGAACAAAATAGCGTAATTCCAAGTGCTTTGGGATTTCCTGCTTTCTTTACACAAAGATATGTTTATCGCATATTTTACATCACTCTATAGGAAAAAAAAACGGATGGGTGGTAATTGCAATCGAACACGCGAGTACGCGTCTAGCACTCGCATATCCGATTATGCGGTCGCTTGCCGTGAAATTATGGGAGTTCGTTCTGACTCGCGTAAATATGGCGCTCACAGTCCATGGCCTGCATTCTTGCCGCACGTTCAACGCTAAACACTGCTTGATTCTCATCTCGTTTTGTCCTTGCGGTAAATCTTTTTATTAAATTTATATTGGAATATAGTGTTGTTTTTGTATTAAAATTTAATAAAACAAATACTTTGCTCTAAGTGCATTTAAAAATTAATAATTAAATTTTAATATTTTGTACAAGATGTTAAATATATTAAGTGGTATATTTAATTTTTTGTTAACAGTTTCTCAGTCAGTATACTAATTTCAATTACAGCGCATACTGCAAATAGCGGAAGAACGAGAGAACGCCAGGAAATAGCTGTACAATTCTCGATTCACTCGGCATTATGAATATTGTGACATGCGTACGAATGCGGCGTCGTTGTAAACCGCGTTATTTACAATTTTGGTTTACCGCAAAGATGTAATAGATTTACATAAAGAATCGCGACCACACGTTTTCAACACCTGTTCTCCAAGTTGTGTGAGAATGACATATTTTATAGACGACACGTAAATCCAGTCTCAAAGATATGATAAACGGACAAACTTATTGCACCTTCAACGAAGCAAATGCGCTAGCTGATATTCTGACCTGATATTCAGTCTTCGCTTTCACACACGTACCTTGTGTTTACGCCGACGTCGTTTCGAAGTGCTGGTCCCGGCGCCGAAGAGGAAATCGTCTCTCAGCAAGTGCGCATCGTGCGTTCTGCTCGCAACTCTCTTTCTCGACGCGGTATTTCGCGATCTCTTGCTCACGTGTCTCTTTTTCTTATTCTTGAAGATCTTGCGAAAAATCTTCATGGTGTCGACTCGATGAACGCGAACTTTATCTGAGCACAACGTCGATAAAACGATTCATCGAATGTCACGTCATCGAAGACCGATCACACCGTCAAGAGAATGATTATTCTCATATTAAAATAATTATATTGCACGTAACTGTTGCGTAAGATCGTGTTGCTCGCATAAGTGACACAAACGACGTTGCGAATTTACAATCACCTCGCAATTGAAGAAGATTGACAAATCACGTTCGCGAAATGTCAGGAGCTGCGAGCACTCAATGCACTCGAACAATACGCGGCAAGCCACTAAACGCGCCACCGCATTTGCACGAAAGCCCATAGCGTTACTCATCGCGATGCGCCATGTGTGATGGGGGCGGCTCAAGGCTTATCGTCGTACGCGATACACGCACCAGATCAGCTAGGTCTGAAATCCCGTGATTTTCTCCACAGCCCCGGTTGCTCGTTTAATTAATCGATCGCGTGAAGCCCCGCGCGACCGCCTTGCTTCCGTATACGGAAAAAGTTTATCGTGTAAACTCGGAATTAACTCATCGACCAGTAAATTAAACTCTACTGCTGAATAATCTACATTTATTTTTTTTTCGCATGCAAATCCAGCATTACGCGATAATTTTATGCATATTTTTGAATCAATACATTTTCAAAACCAAATTTTATCTGCTAAGCATATTTTAATATTTAATATTTTCTCTTCTTTACTTGTTATTCTACGTAATAAAGTATCACAAAAGAGTTTCGCACATTTTGAACAACTTTTCGAAAACTTTATTTTATCTTGTAACGTATTTGAATATCTTCGAGAGCCTCTTGCGTAAAATAAAAGATTGTTTATCTTTTAATTAATGAGGTCATCACACTTCCCATCGCATTGATATCGGTTACACCGGATGCACCGTTAAAGGACGCACGAATTGAAGTTTGTTTGCATGAAGTGTGAAGACAAAGTGCTTCCTCCAGAACTGAGGCTACCAAAGATACTAACTTCGAGTTTGATTTAATTTTAACTTCGGTTTCTTCTCAAAAGATACAAAACATTTTTGTCATTTAAAAAAAAACAGACATAATCTTACAATATCATTCTCGGCTACGATTAGAAAAAATTAATTGCTTAAAATTGCTTAAATTTAATGTGCTAAAGTTAGATTGATAATGAAAGGCAAATTATCTGCTGAAAGATTTATCTGGCATTCAAATGCTATGATAGTATTATCATCGAGGAGCTTAAATGAAAAGCCTTACAAAATAGAAGCCTACTGATATGCCATTCTTCTCTACCAATTTTGTTGTCACTTTAACATTGTAATCTAACGAGAACTCCAAGGCCAAACTGTCGCGATAAATCGTCAAATTGAACGACAATTGTATTGTTTATTTTTAATTCTAAAGCTTAGATCAAACAGTACGCGCTTAGCAGCACGGAAATAATTAACATCTCAATATTGTTTCTAAAAAAATCAATTTCAATCTGAAACACTGAATATAACAATAAGATTGATGAACAAAGGATAATTGACTTAACGACTTCTATTTTTAGCGTTTGATATGCAAATACATTATTGCACACTCATCTATACGCCAGCGTGCGCGTCAATGGCGACAAATATGGAACGTCTATAACGTAATGAGATAGTGATGTGATATCTCATCGCCGACAACGCCCATCACAAGTATATATTGACACATTTGTTGTTACATAGATTGACACATACAGCTACCTATTCTTGTCGCGTACACATTTACGCTTATCTCATGAATTTTCCTTCACATTAAACATACACTTTCGTTATCTATTTTGTGAAATGACAATATATGATAAAAAAAACAGTTGGATTATAATCTATATGCGACAAAATTTAATTACGAAGCTAACGAGTTAGATAAATAATTATTTTTATAAAATTCCATAAAGCGTTTACATAAAAAGATTATATTTTTCTTATACAGATTGCGATAAATCATCCTTCTATAAATAATTCTATTTTTATCTCCAGACAACTCACAAATATACGAACAAGTAATTAAAAAAAAATTAAAAATAAAAATGACATATATTAATGTTGATATTGAAATGTAAGCTAGCGCATTTTCTGTTCTTTTAAAGAAAGTGAATTGTCAAGATTATACGCATTAATTTTTTTAACGAATCTTTCGTGTTTTGAAAAAGCAGACTGTCACGTTGTATTTCCCAGCGTCTGCGTCTTAACTCCATATTTAGCTTCGGCTTATTACCTCATGTAAGTAATATATTTTGTTGTAGCACGTGCGAAGTAACAGACACGGTATTTCGCATATATGTTTTAATAACGACAAATAGTTTTTAAATAATATTGTGTAAACCAATATTTTCATGATCAGTGCAATGCCACAATTTTTTTTAACAAAATTTTTTTAAATTACGACTTTTTATTTTTAAATGTGTCTTAATAGATATTTATATGTCGACACGCTGTTTAATTAAAATACAGATACAAGAAGAGAAGAAATTTATATCTAAATTTAATAATATATAACATTCGAGTGGACAGAAAGATTTACGGGCAGCAATTACACTATTGCAACTGCAGATTGCTAGAATCATAGAACAAGATATATTCCAGACTTTCTCAGAACACAGAACATTTCCGCCTCGTAAATTTCAAAGTATATTGTAACAAAATATATTGTAACGCGCGCCATTCGTGAGAAATAAAGTTCGAGAGAAATAAAGAAAAAAAATGTTTAATTAGTGACTTTTCAAGCTATTTGCTCGAGTAGCTTTACTTTTGACAAGAATTCTCTAAGAAATTTCACCTCTATTCACAAACATTTTCTCTACGTTCAACAAAAATCAAACAGAGAAGAGCGTTAAAATTCTAAATATTAGCAGAGATTTTTCGTTAATTCGAAGTCGACTTTCTCTCGGTAGAAATATGAAGACAGGTGTTCATTTAAGTTTAAAAATTATAATATTTTAGCCTCAATAATATATGCTTATATATATGTATGTATTTTTAAATTATATATATATATATTATATTATATATATATATTCAATATACCTATCTATGTAATGCTAAGATATCAAAAAAATTAACTTTTTATTATATCATAATTTGAATGAAATAACTGAAAGCGAAATTCGTAAAAGATAACTGCTACTTAAGATAAATATGCTAAATAAATACATTTTTAAGTGCCGTATCCACGAAGAAAAATAAAATTCATATTGCAGGTTTAATGAGAAATTGATTGTCAATGTTTCAGTTCCAGTTTTTTGCTTTCATTCCTATTTTGTGCTTTTGTGCTTTCATTCCTATTTTGAATCGTGATATTAAGCGGAATTTATTGCACCGATAAAAATACAATCTCTGTGACATCTCTAATTGCGCAAGTGATGGTGGGCGACATGTGGGTGGTATCGGGCGCGCGTTTCGTTAGAGACGATGTGGCCGATAAGCGTTTATTCAAGATATAAATCGGAACGATAACACGCACCGTTATATCGAGTGAGCCAAAGAACGCGCGGCGCGGAGCATGACTTTTTGTCCGCAATTGCAGTGTACTCGTCGCAAACGTGCGGCCAAAATTTCATCGCAAAAAAAATTTTTGCCTCATTTTTTTTCTTTTAAATCGATTTCTCTTTTAAAATGACGATGGGAACTACCACGACAGTGCGCGCTGATGAGTCTTCGTCGAAACCACTTTTTGTTACTCTGCCGAATAAAGAAAAGGAAGAGTACGTGTCGACTAACATCAAGTCTTCCGGCTTGGAGGGCAAAGAAAGGAAACACTTTCAATTTCTAATCAGTTTGTGTGGTAAGTAAATATATTTATATATAAGATCAAAGAAAAAATAAAAAATCATGTTTTAGCATAAAAAGCTATACGTAATATGCTTTTCATCCTTAAAACTAATTTTGTAATATTAATTAGTTAGTTACTAAATTATTCGATACTAAAAACAAAAAAAATTCAAGAAAATAGTTAATTGCCAAAATTTTATCAGGAATATTAAATTCAAAATTCTATAAGAAATACACATATAGATAATAGATATTTAATTTAAAGAAAACATTTAATATCACATATTTTTAATTAAAAATCATAAAAGTTGAAAATTAAAATTTGTATAAAACTAATGCGCGGCTTTATCATATGCCATCATATGTATATAAGTAGCCGACGCATAGTCTCGTGGTGAGTGAAATTCATATTATCTAAAGTGATTGACTTTTTAAGACTAAATCAATCACTTATCTGTCTACATGTCTATGACATATGTGTATGTATATAAGAAAGAAACTCTGATTTTCAAATGGGTATTATAGCACACTTGTGTAGAATTTGCGGCTTAAAATAAAAATCCTTAAATATTATCAATAATATATATTTTTATACCACTTGACATTATTTTATTTTATATTCTTCTGTACATTATCGTTCGATTTATTGCATTCCGATTGTTTTGATAATTAGAGTTTAAAAATATTTGTACTCTGCTTGACAATTAATATACATATCACACATGTACATAGAATAAATAATAATCATCATTTCTGAATCATCGTTTCATTTAAAAATCAACATCCTTATCATTTTTATCGCGAGAAATCTGTTTCACACAGATACGCTAAGCATTAATAACAACACTACACTTCTAACAAAAATTTTCCATAGATTTAACTTGGATTCATTATTAAAGGTTACTTAAATCTTTCTTCTGACAACAACACCATTTGCTTGCAGCTGCGCTGGGCGGCATGCAGGCCGGTATAACGCTCGGCTGGTCGTCACCGATCTTGCCGTATCTCACGTCAAAGGAGTCCTTCCTCCCCGAATTATCCGATGATCAGATCTCGTGGATATCATCCCTGCTGGCGTTGGGCGCCATCGTGGGCGCCGTACCGGCCGGCAAGATCGCCGATCGACTCGGCCGAAAATGGGCCATCATCCTGACAGCTGTGCCGTTCACGGCCTCCTGGCTCACTCTGGCGTTGACCGGAAACGTCGCCAGCATATACGCCGCCCGGTTCATCGGCGGAATCGGCGCCGGTGCAGCGTGCGTCCTCGTGCCGGTTTACGTCGGTGAAATCGCCCAGGCGTCGATTCGTGGCGCCCTGGGCGCCTTCTTCCCGTTGCTCTTCTCCTCAGGCATCGTTTTCGCATACGCAGTAGGCGCGTACTGCTCTTACGTAGTCTTCAATGTCGCTTGCTGCGCGATCCTGCTGCCGTTCGTCCTGGGCGCGTCTTTTATGCCGGAGTCGCCGATGTGGCTGATACAGCGAGGCCGTAAAATCCAGGCCGCCCGAGTCCTAACGATTTTACGAGGACCTCATTACGACATCGCAAAGGAGATAACTGTTCTTCAGGACGACGCAGACAGGATGGTAAACGCAAATGGTGGTTTCAAAGACCTCGTCGGGACCAAAGCCGGACGTCGAGCTGTTATCACTTGCATGGGACTTATGGCTTTCCAGCAACTATGCGGCGTGGACGCGGTTCTCTTCTACACAGTCAACATTTTCCAAGCAGCCGACAGTACGATCGATCCCTTCGTGGCGGCAATTATCGTCGGAATTACCGAAGTGTTGATAACGCTATTCGTTGCTGTTGTGATCGACAGGTTGGAACACTTCAAAATAATATATCTCTTTGTGGAAATTTATCTAGAATTTTTGGCAATTTCTTTAAATTAGTGGTTTTGATTTTAGAGATTGTAGAAGTCTTTCAAAATCCCTCTTTCTTTCTCTCTCAATCGGAATCTTTATTTATTTTAAATATAACATGACAACTGGATTTAGATTTTTAATGAAATGTTTGGCTTTTATACTTTCATGAATTGTTTTTATCAACTAGTTTATCTCGCCACTGTGATCAACAATTTAAAACACTTCAAGGCGGCTATTGTGAGTTTTACGATTCCGATCGTAAAACTCTAAACTGTCCAATTATTATCTTATCCACATCTTTGAGCTTTAAATTTTGCCGAAATATAATAATATAAAAATTTACTTGTAAATTAATAAAACATTAGACAATATATACAAAATGTCTTAAAATGATTATGCCAAGACTCGTAAGTGGGTAGAGTAAGTAGAACAGAAAAGTTCTCTACTATTTTGCGATAATTATTAAGATATTAATTAAAAAGAATTAAGATTTAATTAAAAACACGAGCACTGGCACAATCATTTTGAGACACTCTGTATAATTGCGGTAAAAAATTAAGAATATTGAATATTTATCATCGTACTAATTTAATTAAAGCGTCGTGATACAATTTTTTAAGCCGTTTTTTATGAAAATTTTTTTCAAGTATCAAATTAATTATTATCCAGTGATAACATTTTACTTAACTTATAAAAAGTATGAAAATAATCTGAAAGTGTAGGTGTGTTTCCGCTTTGATGTCAATATTCACGCCGATCGGAATCAACTTCCCAAAAATTGCGTACTTTTTCGGCACACTTTCAAAACACAAAATGTAATATACACATATTTGGTAAAATCATAATATTCTTCTTTCTTCAGATTCGGCCGAAAGCCGCTTCTAATGATATCCGGCGTGATGATGACCGCTTGTCTAGGTGTCCTGGGCTATTATTTCAAGCTTAAAGACGGAGGAAGTGACGTTAGCGCCTTTGGCTGGCTGCCACTGACCAGTCTCGCTCTCTTCAACGTCGTCTTCTCAATTGGTTACGGCTCCGTGCCGTTTGCAGTAATAAGCGAGATATTTCCGCCGGAAACCAAAGGTGTTGCCAGCAGCATGTCGATCGTGGTGCACTGGAGTCTGGTGTTCATCGTCACCAAACTGTTTCCCACCATGGAGGACAAGATGGGTCAGGCCGCGACTTTCTGGACGTTTTCATTCTTCACCATCACGTCTGTGGCTTTCGCGTACTTTGTAGTGCCGGAGACGAAGGGCAAAACGTTGCAAGAGATACAGAGAAAACTCGAACGAAGACACTAAGTGAGAACGGAATATTCGACTGAGCGGGCCTGATAATCTCAGCACAGCTAGCAAAAACATTCATTGTCTTTCATAGTTCAAACATTCGGGCTTTTACAGTGACGAGATTCGAAGCGGTGTTTCTAAAGCATTAAGCTTCTTCGAAGTCGATAAAGATGTATATATTACATTGTTGAAATTTTTTTTAACAAGAATATATTATATTATTTATCTTGTTGTTATAGAATACATGTTACCATCTAGCAAAACTTTATTAGATTTTTTTTATACATAATTATTGTATTGTAAATTCAAATATTGTAAATACATAATATATGTATCTGCGTAACAATCTCTGTCAAATGCATTTGAAATATCTTGCGAAAAAGTCGCGCACAGAGATGTAAATACGTGTATGTATGCGATAATCGATAAGAGAAATATAATATCAATAACTCATAAGGATTGCATTAACGAAATAAAACCTTCATGTCATAAGATTAATAGCCGTTACGCTCAAGCCAGAAAAGATATAGAATCCTTCATGAAAGCATAAATAAACGAGCAGACATCAGCACTTGCGGAGAGATGAGCACTTCGCGACGCTATAAATCCTAAGTAGGACTCGGTTTCCGGAGGTTTGAACAACTTATCCTTCATAAAGTCCCGCTGATGACGCTCCACATTGTGGAGTTTCGTCGTCCCTTTCTGCTTTTCTCCGAAGGCCATTATGGAACGCGGGAGATGACAGAAAAGTTATAATCGTACATTGTAAAAATGGTTGGACATGTAAGAGTGAAATTTGAAAGCAATATCCGGCGTATTCGTCTCTTTATCTATAGAAATTTCTATAAATAGTACATATTCTCACACATTTAATTAATTACACTTCTTTATTGCATAATTAACTCCATACGTGCATTTCTGAGATTCATAATTTGTGGATCTGACACAGATATTACAAGATAGACAGCGGTGTCGCTGCCGGCAGGGTAGAGAAAAGCATATAGATGTGTAGTTTCAATCTTAAAATGCAGATGCAGATAGCAGTACGGAATAGAAATAGATAAGAAATAGATACAAAAAGAGCGGGAACGATCACTTTTAGCCTTCTTTAAATAGTATTTTTTTCCAAAAAGAAAAGATAAAAAAACCACACGCTTCTATGTAAAATCATTCTATGTAGAACAATTCGTAAAACAATTTTTATAATCTATAGTTTGAAAGAGAATTTATCACAGAATTACTTTTTCCATTTTAGAATTATAATAGGCATGACGTAATAGAGAATAACAAGCTGACATTATTCAGAAATTTAAATAGAATTAACTAGCTCTCTTCTCTGCGTTTTATTTATATCAAGCTCCTGGGTTTCCACGTATTTATTTATCACTCGTAATGCTCTTACTTAAATTTCTGCGAATTATTGCTAAACTGCTGAAAAATTTCCTCAATTTTATCAGATAAAAATCCGTTATTTTGAAAATATACAATAAAACGCCGCAAAAGGAATTATTTCTCGATTAAATGGTTCGCAACAAGATCTCAGCTTAATCTTCCGTCAACAGATGGCCAGAAAATCGTGCAGAGTCGTCAGCCTAACTATTAATCGCATCGATCTCATTGAACCGCAATTATCTCGATGACAATTAGCGTGTAAGGGCGCATCGACGATCATTCGCCGCTAACATCTCTCGTATCGCGAGACCGATAATCGCGTTAGGTCCGAGAGAATTACGGTGTCCTCGCGGAAAGGCGAAAAGCGTTTCGCCGGTTCGCGCGTTAACCCGCTGGCATCCGGCGGAATCTGGGTGCCGATTGGTGGATTAATTACAGCGCGCGTGTCCCGCGGTACAACGGGGCACCGTTCGCCCGGCCGCCCGCTGTGTCCTGCTCGCCTCTGCTACTTCCATTTCCACCACCTCCACCACCTGCACAGGGGGGTTGGTTGCGCTCGCCGCTAAACCGAACGGTGGGGGTTAGCGTCAGCGACGGCAGCGGTGGGTGTTCATGCAGGTACGCGATACCCCCCGCGACCATCGCCAACTACTACCACCACACTGTCGCCGTCTCCCTCTCTCCGTCAGTCCTCCTCCTTATCCCCGCGCTCTCACCCCATTACTCGTCGTCGGTGCCCGCGTCGTGTGTGTGTGTGTGCGTGCACGTATATGTGGGCGCGCGCGTGTGTGCGTGCGCACTCCGAGGCGGTACGTCCACACGTATATACGATAGTTACAACGATGGAGATTCCGCGGCGGCTCGCGTCCTCCACCGCTCGGCTCGCCGGTTCGATATGCGCGCGCGCGCACGATACCGATGGGGTTCAGTGCCGACAGTGCCGCCACAGCTCTCGGAAGAGACACCCGTGATTTTGCACCCCCGCTCGAGCAGAATTTACCAGACTATACGACGAGGGTGCACCACGGCTCTCCGTCTCTCTCTTTCTCTTTTCTCTCTCTCTTTCTTTCTCTTTTTCTTTTTTTCCTCTGTTTCTTTCTGTTTGTCTTTTCTTCTCGCTCGATTCTTCCCTCTCACCGCTCTGCCATTCAAACATTTTCTCTCTTTACCGCGAACTGTCTCCTTTTCGGCTTTTCTTCCCGTCACCGTCGTCGAACCTCTCGCACGGCCGTGCCATTCGCGCCGCGACGACCGCCGCATCTCCGTCGAGTAGAGGTGACGGGACAACATCATCGGTGAGTGAGTGGTGCTGACGGGGGATACGAGTCGCGACCACTTTGGTCCCGCCGCCGATCTCGATGCCGCGTGGTGGTGGGTGCTGGTGATGACCCGATAGTGACCCGCCGATACGAGGCGGCCACGTTGTTTGCGGGAACGCGGACGTGTGCGGGTGGATGCGCCTTTCCCCGCCGCGTGTACATATTTTAACGAGGCAACCGGCCGCGCGCAGTCCGTCTCTTCAGGATCCTCCGGCGCTTACGTTCACGTGATTCCGCTGGAACGCGAGCTATAAACGTTGAGAGGGTCAGGGTGATCGACCGGGAGGACGGCGACGCTCACCGTGACACATCGCGGTGTTTCCGGCCGTCTCTATAAGTTTCGTTCTCAAGAGGAACGGCAGTCTCCGTCGATCGATGAAGGATAAAGAGCGTAAACACGTCTCCACGTCTCTGGACTATCGATCGAGCTATCGATCGTGGATCGCGATCCGTCGCCGGCGCGACACGCCGTTCACTGCACGCGCGATCGACAGTTACACGCAGCCCAATTAATCGCGATTAATGACCGACGACGACGAGCCGCGGGAAATCACGTGGCATCGAGACTCTCACTCGGCATCGCGCGCATACATTTGTAATGAAATTTACTCTGACTGTCAGCGAAGCGGGATTCCAGCGCTGTTGGCGTAGGCGGTCGGTCGATGCTTACTACAGCGGGTAGTATCATGACACTCGGCAGTCGCCGACATTCGGAATGAGCTGTGTGCGGAATACGGTAACTCCTTGACCTCTTAAAGTCGCGACGTATGCAATACGCGAAGTGTGCTCGCGCGAACATGTGTAAACCGTACTGCTCAACGATACGGCACGGCCGTGTCTCGCATCCAGCGAGAGTCACGGCAGCTGTGTAGCTCGGAAGGGAATTGGCGATCGAACTTTCGGAGATCTCTCTCGGAAGAAGTTTGCCGAGCTCGACTTGGAAGGCACGTCGAGTCAATTTATACGCACTTTACCTTTGCGAAGTCGCGGTAACCGAAAACACCATCGCAATCTCGTCAAACGCAGCCGCACGCGACTTTCCACGAGAGCGAGATCAAAAACTTGAAACTTTTGCGGAAGCTTGAGAACAACCAAGAAGAATCTCTGCCACCATCCGTAATATGTAAACGCACTTTTCAGCGTCGATTAATCGTCGATAGTAAATTAGCAAACTGTCGCATAGTGCAATTTTCTAGCGTAATTCATCAGACGTTATTAGCCGAGATTCCAGCGAGGCCGCTGCCTTTTGCATTTCGCAATCTCTTGAACTTTTATCAAGATACAATTCTTAATTTAGCAGAACGTTTCCGAACGCAGATTTCAAACAACAAACATTAATTGACAGAAATACGATTGAGAGATGTTATTCTTGTGCGAGCTTTTGCTGACATTTGTAGCCGAAGTCAATTCGCCGTTTCAAAATACCACAGATGCAATCATAATGATCGAAATGTCGTACAAATCCGGCAGAAACTGGCAGCTCGATATCGCGCTGTAATCCCTGGCGACACTTGGCGTTTTACAATTCTGCCAGCTATCAAAACCAATAACAGCGTGGCCGGATATCGATCAGCGGCAAGTAAATTTCGAATTAGCGATCTAGCATGAGACCGACGATAGAAGAAATCCAGGATCGAAAGGGATGATCGAGCAAAGATCCCAATGACATCTCGGCGGGGTGGGAGCGAGGGGTATAAGAGTCCTCCCAGCCCTCCGAGCAGCGGTTCGGAGGACAATGGCTTCACGAACCGACCGCGAGTGGCCGGGCTCTACGTGAAGAATCTAAGCAGAGAAGAGCTGGATGAGTTGTCGAAGGAGGGGATCTACGGGCCCACGGGCGATCCGAACGACCGACCCAGGGATGGTGGCAGTCAGAGGAGTCTCAATCTACCGGGCAGCAGCCGGGATTTGGACGATCATCTCCGAGGCGCGACCTCCAGAACACCCCAGCCGCCTCGAAGATCCGGCATTGGAAGTCGCTACCGAGAATCCGGACTGTCGGACAACTTAACGCGGCGGGATCATCATGGCTCGCTACCGACAGAGAGAGGCTGGCCGAGACGGCCGGAGGACCGTCCGGGACAGGCCTCGCCAGAGAGATCCGTCCGAGGATCCTCCGAGTTTCCGGTCGGCTGGAGAGAGTCGTTTGCTCGGCCCGGAGCTGCCGCGTCGCCCAGAGGAAGTTCTGTTGACGTACGAATCGTTAGCGATGACGCGAGAATGGTGGCTGGACCGCGTCGTCTCGAGGGCCTGCCGAGACGTCCCAAAGGACCCGCACCTAGCGTGCCCCCCTCAATGGCGCCTGGGGATCAAGGGACATCGGGAGGTCCTAGCGGACAATCGCCGCCGCCGTACGCAAGTCTGAGTCCGCCCGAGTACAGCGAGCGCGAGGAGGCGCCGCAAATTTGCCCTAAGACCACGACGAGAGCCTATCAAGTCGGCGACAGAGAACGTGCAAGTTCGCCGTACGAACGTCCGAGTTCGCCGTTGCCGTTGAAGGGGGACAAGAGAGAGTCCGCCAAGCTGGCGGACTCGCGCGTTGAGAAAGCGCCGGAGGTCCCGTCGAGTCCGTCGCGCACGCCATTGACGGAGAATCCGACGTCGCCGGAGTCGAAGAAGAGCGAGTCCCCGCCGATGAAGAGAGTCGGCTCCAGGATGCAGGACAGCACGAGACTGCGGCCGCCTCTGGCCGGTACCGCCGGCACCTCCGCCGATTCCGGCACCGGTGACTCCGGGAGCGCGGAGATCCAGGCGGACGTAGTGACGCCGCAGACCGCGACGTCCGGCGACGTCCTGGACGTCAACGTGTCCAGAAGCGAGGGCAGATCGCCGGGCGGGAGGTCGCCCGCCGGTAAAAGCGGCAAGCAGACGGTGAAACCGTTCACGAGGGAGAGCCTTGACAGGCTGGAGAACAAGACTGTGCAATTGGTGCGCGAGTACGGTTTTCAACCGAAGAGGAAGATGTCGGTGGAGGATGGCGCGGTACTGCCACACAAATTCGAACCGTTCCCGAGCGATCTCTATGGCAGGCCGCTGGAAGAGATCGACAACTTCATCTACGACGAGGTGAGTTCAATTTCTATTGTACGGTCTTATTTATTCATCTCCAGTTCATCGTTCGATAAAATTAGCGAAGCAACAGTTTCTGTTGACTTCTACAAAATAACATCGTCTACGAGAGAGAATATTCAACATATAGAATAACATTGTCAAAGAATTTTCTTAAAGTTATTATTAAAAAATAAATATTATAATAGTAATATTATAATTAAAATTTTCAAATAATAGCTTACTTTTCTACAACAATCATCGTGTTTTTTTTTTTAATATTTCTTTTGGCTGTTTAATAACTTTCCAATTCCTCGGAAAAACATCTTCTGATGGATATATTATGCAGTTATTGCATTTTTTATACAGTTCAGATTTCGTGCTTTTAAATTATTATACATTCGAATCGTTAAAAAAATATCTGATAAGATCTGAATTATGTAAAGGAGAAGACAAATATACATTTGTTGAATTTAAAAAATCGATACTGATTTTTTAATAAAAATTTTATGAAAATTCTCGACTCTTTTTCATATATAGTATACAGATACATTTTCATATAATAACAGAATATACAGGGACTTTTTCATAGACAGAGAACTAATAGATTTACGAATATAACCAACCGCGTTTGGTTAAATAAACTATTGGAACACGTATGCCGCACTGCGTTCATTCTGCAAAACAAAATTTAAACGAAATTAGAGCGTGATTCTAAAGTACAACCAAGATCCAAGTTCCAGCTTATCATAGTCGTATCTTAAATTTACAAAGCTCCGCGAGAAAATGTTAAAGGACTACGCGACTGGGGAACACTATAACGTAACGCCGCGATGCAATTTCAGCGCGGTCGAGTATTTCTAGTTTATATCACTGAGTGGTGTTGTCGGCAGTCGGTGAACAAATATCAGAAGTGCGCGATTTTCGTTTCAGTAAATAAATTTTTTTGTCTGGTCGTAAAGCGAATGGAATAAAGGTGTCAAGGGAAACGGTAGGTGACAATAAAAAAAAATGAAAAAGAAGAGCAAAAAAGAATTAGAGATGTGTGCGCAAGGCAGACGAGAGGGCTTGAAACAGAAACGGAGAGAAGAATCGAGAGAGAGAAAGAGAGTTGGCGGTAAGAGGCAGTGACGAGATGAAAAGGATAAAGTGGTAAAAAAGGACAGAGAAAGGGCGGACGAGTAGTGGGAAAGAGATAAAAGGGATAAAAGACAAGAAACTCTGAAAGAAACGAGAAGGGTGGCACGAGATGAAAGGCGGAAAAAATTAAGCGTATTTTACACGTGTGTTTGTGCGCTACACATCTATTTATATTAAAAATCGATCGACCGCGACTATTCGTGACTTGTTCTCAAATAAGAAGTTTCTATCGGATCCGCGGTGGATTATGTGGGTCACAAAGGATTTGACGCACGCGTCGGATTTCTTTAATTGTCTTTAATCGCTCTTGCGACTTTGTCGAGAGAAAAATATTAATTTACATTTACTGTACAAAGTGTTTCGAATTTTAAATATCCGAGTCAAACTGCTTAAGTAAAAAAAAGAATCCTTGTTATTTATTTCCAATCTGTGCTTTGAATATTCTAGCAAAGCAACAATTACCAATAAAGAAAAACAAATCACTGCATCTTCGTAGCAATTTAAAGAAAGAAAATTTTTGCAATTTGTCTATCGAAATAAAAGTCATGTTAATATAACTTGCATTGGACTTCTGATCGTAAATTATAATAAAGAATGCGCTTACTATATTTATGATGCTAAAATACGAGGTCAACATAATAACGGCGTCAAACATGGCCAGAACAATTTTTAACTTCGTTAATCTCATTAAATTCACTCGTTAATTACGCAATTTTTATTTTTCGTCCTGTGAAAACGTAAACACAGTTTGCCTATCAATTGAATAAATTATTTTATAAAAAATATTTTAAAATTGTTATTTTTCAGGAAATACAAGAACACCAATTTGTCACATAAATTAAGTTTTTTCTAAAACGAGCGATACAATTATTATATAAATAAAATAATCAAGACAAAAAAGGTTAATAATAAAATTAATATAATTAATATATAATGTTTCTTTTGCATATATATATATAGACTGTTTCACGTGAAATTTTAATGAGATTCTTTAATGAAACTAACTTTTCCCAATAAAACCTTTCAAAAAAATCTAATTAGAGACATATTTATCATTAAAGGACTTTTTTCAAAATTACAGACAACAAAATGTTGCAACTATGTAAATATAATATTTCCATTTAATGTTGTAAATATGTAAAAACACAATTCCCATTATACTCCACTGCTCGTAAATTATTCTAATGGACACATGTTTGTGTACTGCCGTTTGTTCACGGCACTTGAGTTCCATACTCGAGTTCAATACTAACGTCAGAGCGCGAAAGAGAAAGAAAAACCTTAAGCTTTGGTAAGCTCGTTAGGGGTTCCTTATGCAGCAGAGCAATGAATCTTTCTCGAACGACTAGCGAACTTGTTATTGCTCTCCTCTCGCGCTCTTGCTTTTTCAAATGGAAGCGCCGTCATATTTCTTTCGCGCCCGTTCCCGTCGCGGCCAGAGCAAAAACTCGCCGGTCCACTGCGCGAGTTAATGTATCTTCAATATCACGAGGCAGGAGAATGGGGCGACGCGCGACCGAGAGAGAATAGGGAAGCGTTATTTATTGAGTGTGCATCGCTTCGCTAACCGTGAGCGAGTTATTTACGCTCTTCGGTGTCACGAAACCCTGCGGCGAAGAAAGCTCACGGTTTTTCGGATCGACTGCCATCGTCACCATTATCAAAGCTTCTATCTCGGCCGACAAACATAACCACGGTAAATTAAACTCGTACTAATAATCTCTCGCGCGTATTTTCCGCTGTATTATTGTTGCGCATACGATAGATTGCAAAATCGTGCGTCATAATTTCCGTATGATTTTCACGATGCGTAATTATTGCCTTTATTTCTTTGCAATGTGCAATAATAGATTGCATAATAAATACAGACCTTTCTAATACATATAGTTCTTTAAATAAATATATACATTCTAGATGTTGACCTAGACGAAAATTTAAAGTAGTTCAGATGATGAAAGAGAAGAGGTAAAGCAGATTATTCAAAGAACGTAATCACGAAATTCTTTCGTCTCTTTTAAAATGAAGGAAAAGTAACTCAGAGTGACAGAAATTGAGCGAGAAATGACCCGCTTTCTGAAACGTCCACGACGTACAATTACGTCCGGAAGGAAGATAAAAAATTTCTCCGATAGAATTCTTCAGCTGAATACGAATAAAGATATTATGAGTTTAATTGTCGTAGATTTTCCAACGCAAGATGTTTTTCATGAAGCCGAATTTCCCAATACCTCATCCTTTTATAGGCGAATCACGTGCGCGATACCCGATCTGCTGCATTTTCATCGTCTGTCTGCCATGTATGTTTGTAAATTGACAATTCAGCAAGAAAGAAATACGAGAGAACCGATGGGAATATCGCTTCACTATCAATATCATTTGTTATGAAATCCGAGAATATTCTCTACGTTTTAGGTTTTAGGTTCAATACGTATCCTACATTGTTGAGCGATTTCTCTCTCTTCTTCGAATTTTGTTACATATATATTTCTAGAAAAATTTCTGAGAAATTTTTATTTCGGAGAGCACAGCTTATACAATTTTTTCCTTTGCTTTGTTACATATTCTTTAAAAAATTTATAGTAAATCGTTAATTATTGATCGATTATTTTCAAAAGTATATTTTATTTTTACAGAATTTTACTTTGACATGCTTAATTACTACGCCATTTCACGTCGCGAGTTAAGAAATTGTACAAAGAATTGACGTTCGATCAAAATCGAACAAAAAAGAAGAAACCACCTCGCAACTAGAAAATCGCAATGAAAAATCCATTATCAGCTAATAATATACAATTTTTAAGTCAAATTAATGTCAATTATTGGTAAGAAAAAAGGGGATAATTGCTAATTGAACGACATGATTAAGACATGTCACGTAGCTTTTTGTATTCCGCTTGTTCTTGAATTCTCTCGTCTCGACTCGTTTTTTTCTATTTCACGACTTCTATCGGAAATCATGAATTCGATGCTACCGCTTCCAATTTCCTACATATTGGGTTGCAACGCAATTCTCACGAATCCGCACTAACTTTTCAGCAGACACATTGCATTAACTGGTTTCTCGTGATTATACGCTTCACTGCGCAATGAATAATTCTATCTTAGAATAGAGCTAGCTGAATTCTACGCTAATTCTACGCTCTCGGAATACAATTATGCCCCGTAACGGTGGAAAAGAAAACAAGAGTTATAAAAATTTTTAAACGAGGTATATAAATAGAAATACCTAATGAGACAATCTTTTCTTCAACATTTTCAAATCTATTACTTGAATCTACAACATTCACATTTCTCTTGCTATTATAGAAATTCTTAAAATATCTCACGAATTTACTTCTTAAATTTAGTTTAAAGTTTTTCAATTGTTATTTTTTTATTTACAGAATTGGCAAATTATTTAGAGAATCTGAAAATTTAAGAGAATTTTCGATGATTCTGTGGTTCTTATTTATGAAAAAGTTTAGCATCCATCAATTTTAATATATCAGAAGCAGCCGAGAAATCGAATTAACGTTATAACGGTATCCCGCAGCGCAGTTTCGTAAAATATCGATAATAAATAAAACATCAAGGTCATTCAAACGTACAAAAGTCACGTTACTCACTACCATCGTTCGCCTCGTCGCTATATGGTACATTTAATTTCCACGAGTCACGTGATCACGCGAGCCCTTTGACGCAATTTTACTTTAAGCGGCAGCAAAATTCGTATAAGCCCTATGGCGGCACATTGTTACGAGGGGGTGTACTTCGGTCATTTTGCCATTCCCCTTCTTAAGAACGCGCGCGCATAAAAGAAAAAAACGTGCCGATCTCACTAAATGATAAGAAACCCTCGGAGTCGTTCGTTAACCGAAGTATTCGCTGATAGAGACTGA